TTTTAGAGATAAAATTTCACAAAATACATAAGGCTGCTAACAGGTTGACTGAATTGAAAATCGGTTTCATGCAGCCGAGATCAACTGCATACAGTTTTTAATGCGTGCAGTCGTTGTGTTGGCTACATGAAGTTGATTACGACTTCTCGTATTTACTGCAAACATGCAGTCAAATTGTTATCAGCCTAGTTTGTTTCAAAATTGATATTATTTATATGACTTTTAAGTGATAAAAGCTTTTGAGGTTCTTCTTTATGATACCACGAGACGAGACAAACAAATCGTACGCGACGTTTGGTGGTAAGCAACATGCCTGTCTATAGCACTTGCAATTTCACTCAGAATTTTAAAACGTAGAGATCTGAAGGGCAGTGCCCCTGCGCCCGTCACCCTGACCCATAAGTTGACAAGTCCCATGTACCTATAATTTAGTAGCACCCTTACCGTTCAAAACCGGAACGCAGTAATGCTCACATTACCGCTTGGCACCAGAAATAAGTAAAGTATACAGTAGTTTGACGAACTCTTTCACAATGAGCTCTACTTCTGCTATATATTTTCATGTAGTTACAATTATTTTATTTCTCACAGAGTTGGGAGTCCGTTGATCCTTCCGCGTCAACGTTCACGCCGGATATCACCCCTTTGATCCTGGCTGCTCACAGGAACCACTATGAAATTCTAAAGATCCTGCTAGACAGAGGCGCCACGCTCCCCGTGCCCCACGACGTCAAGTAGGTACAGGCAACGAATATATCTTTACAATTTGTACTATAGAATTTTAGAATGGATCTCAAAAAGCACGAAGAGGATTAAAAAAAACCTCTATCTAGAATCGTATACTTGCTAATCATCGTATAATAAGTAATACACACAATAACACAGCGTTTTTTCTATTAAGGTAACAAATCGTATGAAAATATATTTTAATAAATTGGACCAACTTCTGCTGTTCCGAGTTTTTAGTACCGTTCAATAAAATAATCCTTATCAGAAATTGAATTAGTTAGCATTAAATAAAATGTTCAAAATTATTCATTTTAATGGACAGCCTACGCTTGACCAAAAAAAATTACTATGCCAAAATTGCTTTCACAAAAAACCTAAAGCTCAACTCACACTGGCGATAAGTCGACGCGTCGCGTCGCGTCCTGTTTTTCAACTCCACCGCCAGGCGATGTGCGTCGACGACAATCGCATTAGTGCGCCGGGATCACAGTTTGGTCGGCGTCTGACGCCTCACGGCGCCCAAGTGACGCGATTCCACATTTGCAAACACAAATTTATACCTTAATAATTGGAAAATATAGATGAATATGTTATAGGCGAAAAACATGACGCGTCGCGACGCTTCGACTCTGCGCCAGTGTGAGTTGAGCCTAAAGGTTATTGACAGTTTCCCTGTATCTACTATGAATTCGAATTTCCCCGTACTGTTCATTAGACACTATTAATTATTTACAAGACTTTATTTACTTTTACTCTATTTTTTTATTTCATTATTATTACATAACAATTTACTTATTTTATCATGCCGCGAATGTATAAACCCAATTTTTTGTAATTACAAATTTGAACAGAAGGTTTATGTTATATATGTTATAACGTATTTCTAACGAATTTGTCTATGCCGCTGTTACAAATCTTTATTGTTGCTGGATACTTTTTTGCCGTAGCGCCACCTGTTAGAAATCAACGAAAGTTTTTTTTTTTTTTTTCATTTACGTATACAGCCACTACGGTTGACAAGTTGTTTATATTCATCGAGTGTATAACCGGAAATAGAGACGAAATAAGGGCCATCCGTCCCTGGCAATACATCAGGTAAATGGGCCTTACATCACTTTTATATTTATTAACTCTCGTTTGCGCTGAAATAACAAATTAGAAAGCTGAAATAGTACAGCGTCAACAACCTGACCTGTGTGTACGTCTCCGTACATTCCAAAAATATTCTGTATTTATTGTAATAAAGATAACGTCTCTAACAATGGGGGAGCTGTTCCATTTGGTAGTGTGGGAAAAACAGCAAAACATCTAATTATAAAACAAACGGAATCAAATTTCATCGGTAATTAAATATGTAATTTTCCAATTTTCGTCCATTATAGCAAAGCTCGAGTTAACTGGTCGATTTGAAGTGAACCAATTGACGACACCCGCCAATTGTTTCGAATTCGGGCTGGCCAATCGGAGCGCAGTTGTCATCGTCATGATTTGAATAGTTAGCAGAATAGTTTTCAAACAAATTAAATGACATTACATCTCTATTTCTGGTTATATACTCGATGTTTATGTTATTCGATTCGGAACTTCATATTGTATCCGAAACAAATCAATTCCCATGAACACTTAAGGCACTTAATGAAAGACGATTATTAGCTCCAGACAAGTAACACGATTAAGTTGTAGCTTAGTTAAATAACTTTAACTAGTTACTCAACTATTGCGATACAAAACTTTGCGACGACACATGTAAGGGACGTTATGTGGGACATCAATTTCTGTTTCTAATTAATTATTTCTTATTAGTACAAAGATCGAGCACCAAGAAAGGCTGAATTCAAACCAGCGCCTTCAGCACACCGTCCCTGACACTCTCTCAACTAAGCTACGGGACGAATCATCAGACAAATTGTTCTAAGTGCTTGTTGCCGATCTTTATTTTTGGTTTTTATCCACTTTTTGCGGCAGTGCCATCTGTGAGAAATCTATGAACGTTTTTCCTCATAACATTTTAATAATTATAACAAACTAGTGAAGTAATTTCACAAAACATAATTGGATAGCATGGTAGTAAAACATCGTTATTATTACAATCATTTCATATTTTTTAAAAGTACCACTTTACAAAAACAACGTACCATTTTGCAGAATTTACCGCAGAATGTAAAAACGTTATTGGGTACCTTTAGGAGATGATATCATCACAGGGTCAATAAACTTTTTTACAGATGCCATCCCTAAAATTTAAATAAAATTAAAAAAGTGTCCAACATGTTTTATTATTAAAAAAAAATTAATTTGTCTAAATCGAACTCTTAAAAAAATCATACATTTTTTCCAATTCCCAGTTAGGTTTTCGCGATTTCTACACATTGGAATTTTCATTGGTATTTTCTAAATCGATCTAAATCGGCATTTGGTCCGAAAAAGTAGTTTTGTTTTGAAAATTAAGTACTTTAATTTTTTGTGATTGGTCACACAGGAGACAATACATCAAATATCACTACAAATAGGAACTATAGATAACACAGGTTTATTTGTTGAAGGCAAAGCGTAAAAAGAGACCGGACATTTTTTGACAGACAAGAATTTCTTTTTATGTTTGCGTATGGTTTTGTACAAACATTCTAGTGGAAAATCTAACAGTTTAATAGAAAATTTATCTATTTTAACATATAGATTGTAATTACAATTAAATAGTTTTTTTATTCTACATCAATGTCATTTGAGCTGTTAATTTCCCAAATATAAATAAATTAATTAAACACTAACATAAATACTTACTAGATATTTAACATTCTGTAAATATTTTCTTGGATTTTTTTTACGATAAGCTCGTTCTGGTAACGCAGTAGACACAGATAAGTTTAAGTTTTTCATGAATTGTTTCAAAAATCATTTATTTACGTCGGTGCACATCTTAAGACTTGTATAAAACTTTAGATATGATAGCCATTACAGTAGTAATTCAGTTTAGGATTATCAAATAAATAATCATAATTCCTTATACCTTCATCCACCACAGTGTCGGTAAAACAGTTGATTGACCCCACTGCGTACAAATAACATTAACGCGCGCGCTCTCATAGCCCGGTACTAGGGAAACCCAGTATCGCGGTTACCGTGGACACACACAAAGACAACCACAAATTACACCGAAACTCACAAAAGAAATAAATCTAGGCCATACTAATATTTGCCCCGGCACGGGAGTCAAACCCAAGACCTGTGCGTGGCAGTCCGGCATGGTAACCGTTCGGCCACGGAGGCAGTTACAAATAAGTGCATACTCTGATGTTCTACATTATATGAAACAATGTCACGACGACTTGCTCTGAAGACTCCCTACAACACCTAAAATGGAATAAAGAAAATTAAACACCCCCGATCTTCGATAGCCCCACTACTGGACAGAGCCATTTACTTACAAGAAAGTAAATGAGATGTTCTCTATATACAAAATCTTCCACAGGTGCGGCTGCGACGAATGCGTCAAGTCCTCCCAGGAAGACTCCCTCCGCCATTCTCAAGCTCGTATCAACGCTTACCGCGCTCTAACGTCTCCTTCCCTCATCGCTCTATCTTCTGCTGACCCTCTACTCACAGCTTTCCAGTTGTCTTGGGAGCTGGGTAGACTCAGCAGAATGGAGACCGAGTTTCGAGTGGAATATAAGGCAAGATCTTTCGAGGCTTTCACATCAGCCAATGTATTAAAAGCTCTCACACACACGCACAGTGCATGGCGTGGTGGTTTCTATACAAAATTGTGAATTTTATAATATCGAATATCCGATTAATGCCGGCCATACACGCTATGGTATACCGAAGAGGTCTACCTGTGCACGTGTACCTGTGCAGGCAGACCGAAAATCAATTCTTTTGAATGATATCGTACGGTGAACAAGTGTATGTGTGCGTGTACTACGGCGGCCTGCACAGGTCGTGCCGTTTGATTTTTAGTTACGGTATAGGGTAGTCGTCGTTCGCATCGTACTACATTGCGTAATACAAATGTCAACATTCGATTCAACTGATAAGAAAATACTTGAGGAACCGTCGCATCGTCGTTTTCTTCAATCGATACCATATTGAAATTAACTGAAGACCTCTTCCGGATAGTATACCGGATAGTCCCAAATACGCTACGACAAACGGCCTACCTGCGCTGGTATACCTGCACAGGTAGACCTCTCTGGTATACCGTAGCGTCTATGGCCGGCATTAGATAAATGAAGGTCATCAAAGCTAAACCTCTCGAAACGTAATTACTTATGAAGTGGGGACGGTTCAATTTGAACGTACTTCTCACATTATACATCAGAATTACAATGTAGTAGACCAAATTTATTTTAGTAAGTTAATGACGTAAGCTGTCTTATTTTTAGCACATTATCTATCGCTAAACACAAACTAGACACATAAAATACAGTGTAATTCCCTACAGGGTTACGTTTCGACAATACAATTGACAGCAGGCAAATTGATAGTAAAATAACCGGTAATGAAAAACAAACAAAACGAAAGTGATGACGCACTTTCTTTGAACGCATAACCAATGGTTTGTTTCCGGATTCATGCTTCCCTTAGATTCTCCATCTGGTTGAAATATGGGGTATTTACAGTATCTCGTGCTTCAATTGTCGGTAAGTACAGTCGTGCGCAAGTGTCATTTAACTAAGCACTTGTGTTATGGAAATCGGAAAATAACAGTACCACAAACACTGAGACCCGAGACAATATAGAAAAGTTAGTTTTCTGAATTGACCCGGCCAGGAATCGAACACGTAACATTAATAACGTTAAGAATAGGAGGAGATATGACCACCACGGCTAGAGTTGATTGTACATAATTGTAATTCAAAAATAAAACCGATCTCAAAAGTTCTCCCCCTCTATTATATATCCTCTAGTTTACCACCCTTATAAGTGGAATTTTCCTTCAAATTTAAATGAAACTAATATAATTTAAATGGAACTAATATTTAGGTACTCTCTTTCCAACAAGAAAAGAATGATCAAAATAGGTTTACAAATGTCGGAGTTATCGCGTAACATATATACAAAAAAAATACATTCGAACTGAACTCAGTTAAAAACAAGAAACAAGTAAGAACAGTTCTAACAAGCAATTTTTGTTCAGGCGTTGCGTCATCAGTGTCAAGAATTCGCCACCGCACTTCTGGATCACACACGAACGTCCAAGGAGTTAGAGATCATGCTCAACTACAACCCCCTGGAACTTGACATTTGGGAGCCAGGAGAACGACAGACCTTGGGACGATTAAAGCTTGCTATTCAGTATAAACAGAAAATGGTAAGTCATAAGTAAATAGATTCATAGAGCAAATCGTATTTTCACAATAATACTTTTAAAAAGTTAGTAAAAAAAAACCAACCTCAAAAGTTTATGGAATTACATCTATTTGTCAAGTTTTACTAAAATCGCTTACCGGAAAGTGCGCGAAAACGGATTCATCCCCTAGTTTGCCACCCTTAGAGGTGGAATATTTTCTTCAAATTTAACTGGGTTACTCGTCTATCCAACAAAAAAAAGATCATCCAAATCGATTCAAAACATACTAAAGAAAAATACAGTCGAATTGAGAGCCTACTCCTTTTTAAGTCGGCTAAAATCGGTTTCCAATTTAGATTTGTTACGTCACGATCCCCCTTAGGACGAGAGAAGTGGTAGTATAGTAATAAGATAAAATGTGTTGCGACGGCGGCGTCCATATCCAATCTATCCGCATGTGGAGGTTTTGGTCGGAAGCGCTTGCAGATTCCTATTGCATTTGCGTTAAATGTAATAGGGAACGTGAAATATGCGAAAAATAGCTCGATGAATAAGTTGTTTTATATGTTCTCGGCTATATTGGAACGTAACAGCAGCCTTGATGTCATAAGGCCACATCACCAAAATTACAACTATTCAGAGAGAATTTTAAAGATTCTACAAACAAAATTAGTCGAAACTATTGTATGTTGAAATAGGAGAGTTATGTACAATTTCAGATATACTTAATTTGTTTTATATAAGTCGCATTATTTTGATGACTTTCATGTGATAAAAGCATTTTTTACGTGAGATCAACTACTTAACATATTGGAATTTGAAGAAGTTAATTTATCTAAAGTAAGAATGTTTCCTTAGTATGAACATACTCATTTCGTCATCAATGCGACTAAAATTTCTTATTTTTCTGTTTATTTTTTAAACATCCCAAAATATAGGTTTGTTTTTATCCTAAGACCCAGCAACTTACCAGTGCCAAACGCCCGATGTCCATTAATATGTACAAAATGTAATTACATGCTTCAGTCCCCAGTTTTATATGAAAAACGTATTTTTCTTCATACCCTATGGCCATGTAGAATATATAGCGCTAAATTTAAATGCGATAATTTCGTTACAATGTACACTGGGCGGTTACGTGATCAAAGAATAATATTTTCTGGGTCCGAATCACTTCAAATAATATGTACATTTTGATGCACACAGGGCCTTGGGAGATTAATGGCTAATGTATTTAATGACATAAATACCTGTAGAAACACAACTACAATAGTTTTTGATACAATAATTTGTAGCAAACAATTAATGGGAAATAATAATATGTACAAATGTTACTCAAATTTCAATGTATAATACGCATACACAAACATAATCAGTTCCGACAAGTCCCGGGATTTGTAGAAGAGAATGTTTACGTTATTCTTTAATTAAGCTAAATTACCCCCTCAATGCCGATCACTGGGATCACATGTGGCTTTACTACATCAAGAGAACAAATTGGTCATATTAGTCACAATATAACAATGGTATTGTAGAGATCGATTATCTGAAGGATTGTTTTAATGATTATTTGTTTACTAACCAGCCAAAGAGTCATCCCTTTTTTGTATGTACTATTTGAGTTACATTTTTGTTTTAAAGTATTATTCTCTTCCGAAGAGAAGGCATAGTCTGCAATGCGGTTCGAGAACTTCTTACGTTTTCCAAGGGTTGTCTTCAACATGCAGGTTTCCTCAAGACGTTTTCCTTTATCATTAGCTAGATGTGTTGCTACTAAGCAATTACAAATGTAAATAAACTTAGAAATTAAAATCCCGTCGGACCCTCATGAAATAACAGGTCTCATGTTAGGCTACTAATAACTAACTACTACTATAAATGTTTATATAGTTGTTTACCCAAAGTGTATGAAATGTACAGAACTTGCCTTTAGCTGGACGATGCCTCTAATCTTCAGACCAGTGGCAATAGAGTGTAGATTGCCCAAGCTATATTCAAAATTATTATTATTAATACAAAGATCGAACACATAGAAAAATGTCTTCTACCCGATGGGACTTGAATCCACGACCATGCTGCACCGTAGCATTGCTCTTACCAACCGAGCCACAGGTCAAGTTACAGAGCTGTCGAAATTCTCCTACGTGTTTTTGTTATAGATCTTTGTACTGGTTTTCGGCATTAGTCGCCGCTAGTGACATCTAGCGAGAGATTTTTGAAAGCTGCGATGCGAAGGTTGTTGTTGGTAAGACTCAGTTGGCAAGAGCAATGCTACGATGCAGTATGGTCGTGGATTCAAGTCTCACCGGGTCGAAAAAACTTTTCATGACAAAACTATAGTACCGGCACGCTATGATGGCCGTTTTGTCAGATTACAATAGTGAGGTGAAATCTCAATTCATTATCGAAATAAAATATAATCGAATGGCATAATGAACTCGCGTATCTGACTGTTTAAAACAGTTCTTTGCGTACTTTCGGCCATATCAACGAAATCCACAACAAAAGGCGTAAACAAAGTCCAAATTAACGAGCAAGAGTTAACAGTATTGCAGCATCAATATCCAAATTCCAAAGTCAGGTCAAAACTGTATTATCACAATCACAGTTTGTTCTTTTCGAAGCAACATCTATTCGATTACTGCTTTGTTTTGCATTGAGCTTTGACACGTGTTTACCGGAGGTAGAAGTTGTACTGACCAGCGATCCTATAAATGACGATCGATCGACGACGATATTAGATTTCATTTTTAAAAATTTCGAAAAACAAATGCCTAGTTGTGTCGTAAAATTATACATTCCTTAAATTTTACTGCACGTCACTATTGATAACAATGTACAGCAATTAGCTCCTTCAACGTAGTTATGAATTAATACGAAACTTGATGAGCGGGCAAACGTCAAAGCGGCCATCATAGCGTGCCGGTACTATTAGTGGAGTAATTTCACAAAAAATGTCAATAATAATATTTAAAATTCTTGAGAAAAAATACTATGTTGTGCATTTGACCCACAGACGTATTAAAATTTTTTTTCAATGGCTACTAAAAGGACACCTATATGTGAAAGTTGAGATGAAACTGTTCAGTTTTTGCATAAAACTAAAATATCAATAATGCCTAAGTACATTTATTGCGTTTGAGATGTTTATTAATTCATCTCTCATCCAAAGTTTACTTTCTTTTAATTTTAATGCCCAATTAGTCACCACTCTGAGTGATTGTTATGTAAATAAACATTAAAATTAACTTAATGAAATCTGAATTCATATATTTATATATAATTAAAAAATGTTAATTTTGGAAATATGCATATTACACACACAAATATAGTTGTATACGTAAATTGTATACTGTCCATATCAATGGGTGCGATTCGTAATATTTAACAACAAATGACATATTTTTAGTCGATGTAATGTTCAACAGATCGACTCATCCGAAGAACAGAGTCCGATGTTATTATATAGCGAAAAGATAATAAGTACGTCACGAGAATAATTTCGTTATTCAAACTAAGGCCTATGTAAAGGTGTTTTGAGAATTTATATACCTTATTTCGTTTCGGAAATATAAAATCGAACAACAGTCGATCTGACATCCACAGAGAAGAAGGAAGGAACGAAGTGTACTATGTCCCGAGAACAAGTAGTCTTGCACATAGATCTTTGTTCTACGGACGAGTCGAGATATAATTAACTTACGGTATTATACTATTTGCTAGTTGGCTCGACCTCCTCCTGTGGGTTTAGGTTAGGTTAGTATATGACAAAGTATAATGTATTATAAATATAATTACAGTGGTGTTTAGGTGCAATGGCGAATGAACCGAATTTGTTTGCATTTTCTAATTGGTTCGACCTCCTATTAAGTTATGTATGCAATTGAATATTCTGCTTAAAGGTTTGATAAATATATTCTATTACACAAAAAGCGCTTAAAGCTATACAAAATCTAATATATTTTGCGAGTGTAGTACATTTAATGAAATAAAAAAAACTTCTTAACAACATAATATAGGCCGCTTCAACTATTCGTAAAACGAAATATTATGTTACATTATTTAATTCATTATACAGGTAGTGCTTATACCATTTCTTCATTATGTCACCTAATCATTATATGTTAATGTTCGTTATACTGAAGGTTTATTATAGACATTGAAATTATTCTGTTAGGCCTTTTGTTGTTTTACCTTTTGTTGATTATATACAGTGAGCGATTATATCCTTAGAAATTATATCAAATGTTGTTATACAAAGTGAAAATAGATTATTTGTTGTTATATCTTCCATTACACACCCTCTTATCAATACGTTTTATATTTATATTGTTTATTGCACACACATGTTTATTTATATAGTGACATTATGGGCAACCGTTGGTTCACTGGAAGGAGAGGGGGGATGAGAGATTTCATTACAAGGTAGCATTTACATTCAACTCTGTCATTGATATGATGACTGATGAAGTTCCGTGAAATAACGAGGACATTGCCAGCATATTATAGCAATTAAAATAGCAGCAATGTGCTGTAACAATTACATCACTTGTGTATAAAACGCACTTAATTCAGTTACCTACATTTTAACAGAAGTTATTTATAAAAGGAAAAAAATATGTTCATATTATGTTACTGACGTCCAAACACTTTTGGCGTCGAAATTACCATAGGCCATTATGTCTTTAAATGGTGCCTAGTGATCATCTTTGTTTTCACCGTAAAAAATATCATACTTAACTGAAGGTAGGTAGTTACTATTTAATACTAAGTAAGGAAAGTAGACCTAAATAAGACGACCTTCGTGGCTCAATGGTTTGAATATGGTTTGAACTGTGGGTGCTGGAAGAGGAGATCCCGGATTCGATTCCCGATAGGACCAATTTGGGAAAATAAACTTTTCCTTTTTTGTGGAAATGCTGTTAATATATTATATTGGTTTGACCCTGTATACCGTACATGGTACACAATATAAGGGCGTTTGCACACTACGTCCGATTCGTATCAGGGGGTCTACTCTCGATCTTCGTCCGATATATGTCCGAAACAATTACTGTCAAATATGTAATATTCGACCAAATTAAAACACAAGTATCAAGTATGACACTTCATTCGCATCACGTGTCTTTTCATTTGGTCAGGTATTGCTTATTTGGCAGTAATTGTTTCGGACGAATGTCGGATAGAGATCGAGAGAAGACCCCCGGTTCCGAACCCGAGAAATGATAGTCCGAAATGTCACAGGTGTCCGAAGTGTCATTTTATCTGTGCAAGCGATATTCGTATTTCCTCGGATTCTATTCGGATTTAAAGTCGACACACAAAGCATACGACACAGAAATCTACGAGCTCACACGGCGCATCGCAAGAGTTTGCGAATTGCTCCGCGTCGCGCATTCCTGCGATGTTAATTTTCTGGTTTTTTTTTCCTATAATATCTTATGATCACTATGATATGAAACAGCAGTGCAACACTCTTTTACCGATCCATGTTTATACCTAATTTAAAAAATACGTTCATTACTGTTGATGATCGTCGAAGGAATCGTGGCAGTAAGATTCGCAGTTTTGTGTTTCGACCCTTAGAGCACATGCGACATCCGAAGTGGGACAGAGGTTTCTAGGTTTGTACAATCGGCTTAAGGCGAGTCACAGAGGAGAAGCGGGAGAAACTGTTTTGCTAGATCAAGTGGCTTAGGTATTTACTATTAAATAACGGTCTTACAAAAAATATAAGATATACTTAAGAATATTGTCTAAATAATATGCTAGTGTGTTACACGATAGGGTGTACTTTATCCGATTATATAAAATCCTGAAAACAGGCTAAAATAAAAGTTTAAAATGATTTATTTGTGAATAAAATATCTAAGTTCGTGTATAATTTTTACATGGAGATATTTCTCTTTAAGTACTACAGCGAACCTGCTGTTTGGTTGTTAGCTGAAACCCTATTAGTTATAAAGTTGGCATTTATCCCAAAATATGCAAATTGCCTAGAGCGCTTGTCGATGTCGAATGTGTGTCAAATTTTCTCCGCCTGTTTTAAAGTGTAAGCTTGCGTGAAATACCTCGCCTTAAATAATCTTAAATAGGTTATTCGATGTTCTATAAAGACCCTAAAAATATAAAGTGTCTCTGGTAAGAGAACGCTTTCTTATTTAATGATTCAAAGCGCGAATTCATAATTAGCTCTTTACCCCTGGGCCTTGTATAAGAATTAGCCTGTTTTTATATTACAATGAATAATATCCTTTTCAAATGCAAAATGTCTAACTTTGTTTATTCTTTGTTTATTTTATATTGTCTACCTTTAATAAAGCTTAATTTCACTTCACGGAATGGAAGAATCATAGCATAATGACCTTTATGTTACCTTACCGTAGTAGCAGTAGAGTTCGTTATGAAAGAGTTCGTTCGGTAGTACTGCCACCTTAGCTATTTCTGCCGCCAAGCAGTAATGTCAGCATTACTGTGTTCCGGTTTGAAAGGTAAGGGTGTTGGTGAAATTGTAGGCACATGGGCCTTGTCAAATGGTGTCTCAGGGTAACGGGCGCTGTGGTGGTGCACCTCATAATTTTGCAATTTAAAGCTCTGAGTGGCACTGTAACTGTTATGGACAGGCATGTAGCTTACCATTAGAAGCACGACTTGATGTTATAAAAAAAATGTTAATCGTGTAACGTACAAACCAGGGTTGTTGCGAATATCAGCATCCGCAACCGCGAATAATCGGCATAATTTAAAATATCCGCATGCGCATCAGCCTCCGCATTCATCGATGCTGATATTCATTGCGGAAGTTCGAATCGTGAGATGACCTAAAAGGCACGCTGGAATCATTTATAAACCTTTCAGAAACAGATTGTATACCGAAAAAGCATCTCGGCTGTTGTTTTTAAAATATAACTTTGATAAAATTCTACCACGATTAAGCTAGGCAGATTGATTCTTTTGCTAATAAATGTCGCAAAAGCGCGGAAATAATATTTTATAACAATACCAAAGAAAATAGAAAGCTTTTTCATATATCTATCTAGATTCACTAAGAATGTACATTTTTCACGTTTTTTAATAGTTAAAATCAGCATCCGCATCATCATCTGTAAAAATTTGCAACAGCAACAACCCTAGTACAAATTAGATATGAGACAAAAAAGATCGAGCGTCTTTCGAAAAATTCATTCCAGTTTTGAGAAATTCCGCAGCTACCGTATGCTACCTAGTCTGTACCTTATACTAATTTCAGTAGGCTAAGTGTGTTATCCTTCACAAACTTTTATAAAAAAGAAACTTACATGAAATAAACTTTGACGACCTCCGTGGTCTAGTGGTTTGCATACCGGATTTCATGGTGTCGCCATCTCCGATGTGTCGGATTCAATTCCCGGCCAAGTCAACGTAGAAAACTAACTTTTCTATATTGTCTTGGGTCTGGGTGTTTGTGGTACCGTCGTTATTTCCGATCCGATTTCCGTAACACAAGAGCTTTAGCTAATTACTTTGGGATCAGAGCAACGTATGTGGTTGTGTAATATTTGTCATTGTATTTATAATAATTTTAAAAAAACTTGACTATATTCCTCATTATCATCATATACAGCCTGACTTCACCCACTGCTGGGTACTAGCGTCAAAGTTTCTTTGCCACTTCTCACGGTCCCGTGTTAATGTTTGCCACGCAATTCCAGCGATGTCGTTCGCCCATCTCGACAGACGCCCGACGTTCTTGTATCGCCCTTGGACGCCGCCGGCACTCAGTTATCGCCTTACTGACTAAATTCCTATGTATGGACCTTAAATCGTTTATAATGTGTTTGCTTTTAGTTTGTAGCCCATCCGAATGTCCAGCAACTCCTCAGTGCGATATGGTACGAGGGCCTGCCCGGGTTTAAACGGAAAAACATCGTCGGACAGTGCGCGCAGGTAAGAAGACGTTAAGCTCAAATTTTTGAGCTAATTGTAATATCTATTACAAGTAACTTGCTGATAATAGTGTTTCTGTATGATCAAAACACTGACCATACACTAACTTCCGAGCCATTACCGGCGACTTGGTGTCAGCGACAAAAAACAAATTTTACTGGAGAAGGTTTTTTCAAATATTTCTACATATAAAAGTGATATTTACTAAATTGAATTTTAATATACCTAGAATAAAGAGTAATAAGTACCAGGATCTCGGCTCCGACTACCTATTTATAGCCTTTGGAGTTGAAACCCTTGGCCCGTGGGGTTCCAGTGCCCTTAATCTGTACAAATTTTATCTAAAAAATTAATAGACTGTCTGGGAAACTCAAGGGCAGCTATCTAGCCCAACGCGTTAGTATAGCCATACAAAGGGAGAACGCTGCCAGATCTTGAGCACCTTGCCGCGGGGAGCCAATTTTTTTCATATAATTTAAAAATCCTAGTTTTACTTTCTAGTATTTAAGCTTTCTTGTGCCATTCCTGTATATTATCAAAATAAAAAGTATTATATTTTATAATAATGAATTTCATAACAGCAAATTTTTTTAAAAACCAATTGATGCTAAGCCTTTTTTGGCGCCTGATTTTGTTATCTGTATCTGATGATAAGATAATACTTTTGATTAAAATTATGCAGCAAATGTATAAACGACGAAATTGTGATGTCCTATGTCAGTTGCGACAACGAGAGGGGTCACTTATTTTTTTCGTAGCAGTAGGGCTCCATGTAGTAGAATTCGTCCAGAGAATAACTGCCACCTTACCTATTTCTGCCGCTAAGTAGTAATGTAAACATTACTGCGTACCTGTTTTGAAGGGTAAGATCGATGGTGAACTTACAGCGACATGGGACTTGTCAACTTATGTCTCATTTTTAGGACAGTTATTAGGCCTATTCAAGACTAGAGTGCCGAAGCGGTGGAGGTCCTTGTGAAAGAGTTCGTCCAAGGAAGATCCGCCACTAAGTATTTCGGCCGCCAAGTAGTAATATGAATATTGCTGAGTTTCAGTTTTCAAGGATAAGGGAACTGGTGAATTTACAAGCACAAAGCCAACTTATGTCTCAGATCTTTGTGATTTAAAGCTTACATAGACATACGTCTCGCTTCTCAACTTGTTCCTCCCGTCACTTAGTGTCTCATAAAAAGCGTGAATAGGCATTTACGTGTAACATCGTCGGTGTTTCTTTCGTGTCACAGGTGGCAAGAATGGGCATAATGTTTCCCGTGTACTGCACGATCTACATGCTAGCTCCCAACTCCGAGTACGGACGGTTCATGAAGAAACCGTTCGTTAAATTCATCTGCCACAGTTGTTCTTATATGTTGTTTCTTTGTAAGTACCTAAATTAATTAATACGGGGTGAATTGAGCACATAATTATAAACACTTTGCATGTTCAGTATGAAATTGATTGATCAAAAACTATGCAGAGTTGTTTATAACATACTAACAACCTTGTAGGACTATATTACAAATATCATAAAAAACAACTTTCGTCCATGACTTTTTACAGAACATAAACTTACGAAGAATGAACTTTAAGTTTGTGTTCTATCTGACAATTTCAGATTAGTGCCATATTGCTATTATTTTACAAAAATAACCCTGTACCTTTCGCTCCGGACACATTCCATTAAATAAGTTTGCGTAAATGATGTAGAAAATAGAGTTACCAAGCTGTGCTGTATGTGACGTGAATGAGGACGTATATCATATACTGATGGAGTGTGAACGCAAATATTATTTTAGATTTGATGTAGCTGCTATGTGTGACCATTTTTGACAAGTTGGCGGATCCAATAGCGTCTTGGCCATTCCTCTATCAAGCCAAAACCAACTCCAAGCCAAAACGAACTCCAAAGCTAAAACCAACTCCAAACCAAAACCAACTTTAATCCAAAACCAACTCCAAGCGAAAACGAACTCCAAGCCAAAACCAACTCCAAGCCAAAACCAACTCCAGGCCAAAACCAACTCTAAGCTAAAACCAAGTCCAAGAAAAATTAACTCTAAGCCAAAATCAACTCCAAGCCAAAATCAACTCCAAACCAAAACCAACTTCAATTGTCTTTACTTTCTCTGGTTGGAGCAAACGCTTGCCCCAGAGTGAGTGTCGTATGTCAATTCAAGTGTAATATTGGATTAGGGGATGCAGTAATATGGGATCGCATCTGCTTTATAGTAGAATATACTCTTACTCGGGGTTGAATGTGTTCAAACCACAAGTGTCCTGTAAGAGGCGTAGTCGGCTTTCGGGGGTTGTTCCTGTTCAATGCTAGAGCCTCTCTACAATGTAGTTACGCCAGCATGCAAATTATTCATTCCAATAATAAAAATAAAATATTAATAATAGTAATAATCGTTTATTTTTCTCCCTACAAGCACAAGATGTAGGCAATACAATAGAAGTACATCTACGATGACAATCACGCTATTAAACTTTATTATTTAAATAACAAGATTTATTTTTGCGTGACGACTGTGTATGGTATTGATATTTTTCACGTCGTATTAATTATACAATTCACCAATTGTTCAGGTCTCCTTTCCCTAGCGTCTCAACGCATAGAATACTTACTCCTAGAATGGTCCGGTATCCGATGGCTACAGGAATTAGTGGAGTACTGGAAGGAACACGAGCGCGGTTCACTGCCGGGCATCATCGAGTTCACGGTCGTCATCTACATAGCAAGTAATTTTGGGTTTGTTGGCAAGACTTACATCGCTTGTTTTTGCAAGATTTTTTTTCCTTAATATCTTTTAGAACTCAAGTATGGATTATTTTGTTCAGTTAAATTACTTAATAAGCAAAAAAATATTTTAATTTTTGTCCATTACAACTTACTACACTTTAAGATTAACCAAAATAGTTCGTTTGGTAGTACGTGTTCAATTTCGCATAAGTCAAGGCGACTTATGCGAAATTAATACTTTTTATACTTTTCGCATTCTCACTGTTGTAACAAAATCTCCTGTATAATATCTTTATAAAATCGCACCGTTAGTGTATTAAGACAACATTTACAAAATGATAACTTAAATTTTGTTAAAAATTAATATAAAAATCGAACTCTTAGAAAAAATTCCTTCGACCTGGCCGGATTCGAACCGACAAATACGCATTAAATTTATATTAAATTGACACAAACTAGTGGAGTAATTTCACAAAAATAATTGAATATCAATTCAATACAAATTTAATTATAGTTAATAGCGACATCTCTAGCCAGTGTTGGTAGCTGTAAAATTACTTAACTTGGTGCCGAAAAACTTTCACAGATTTCTCATAGATGGCTACGGCTAAAAAGTCGTTAAAAACCAAATACAAAAATTCGACAAACAAGCACATAGAAAAATTCGTGAAGTTCGTTGGTTCCTTCCCTGGCTTAGCTGGCAAAGCGTCTGGCACCGTTTGCTAGAAGACGTCGGTTCGAATCTGGCCAGATCGAAGGAATTCTTTCTAAGTGTAAATCTGTGTAATCTTTGTATTAATAATTATAACAAAATGATAACTTTTCAGGTGAGAGTATTAAAGATATTATGAATGAAATTAGTCAAAAACTTTTTTATGCATATGAGTGTTACAAAATTTCATGTATTCTTATTTATTTTTACCAACATGTGACTAAAGCATCATTAACGTATAACTACATGTGGGTTTGTTATATTAAGGGTGTTAATTAGTACATTTTACTAAGCGAAATAATAAAGTATTTTAAAATCATCAAATTTTACATTCTGTCCACAGGCTTAATATGGGCTGAAATTCGATCACTTTGGACCGGCGGTATCTCGGAGTACATCAGTGATCTGTGGAACATCGTGGACTTCATAACCAACATGTTTTATATTGCGTGGATCAGTCTACGTGTATCTTCTTGGTACATTGTACAGGTTTGTGCGGTTCCTACTTTCTCACCATTTAATAAAGTACCTATAGCGACATAGCTTTTTATTACTCTACTTATATCAAACTTTAAACTTTAAGTAAGTATATTATTTGCAAAAAATAGAATTGTAATATTTCTTCAATTAAGGTAAATATCCCAGTGATTGACGTTTTTAGACGTAAAACAGTCTTTGATACCCATGTCAAACACTGCTCAAACTACCCATACAAACATGTCACTAACAGAGTACTCCAAACCTACGTTCTCTGTCCAAACTAAATGGTCGAAATTAAGTCTTAAAAAATATTCATTTGTTCGAGTGCTTGACAGGGGTGTCAACTACTACTAAACGTTGACATTTTGTACCAGTGTTTGACAGGCCTCTAAAATAAACTATAAACGATTTACATCAATAAATACACACAAAACAAAGGTTTGTACAGTTATCGAATAGTATTAATAAACACTTACCGCTAATTATCAAAATTCCGGCTAATAAATGCACTCAAACTATTCAAAGCCTAAACGATTTTTGTAAGAACACCAACGCACATTTAACTCGGATCACCAGTTCGTAAAAACAGTCGCTATTACTAGTACACTTAACACGGTTTTGTAGTTATATCAATATCTGTTTTCTTATTTTTTCAAAAATAATACAGAAGTGTCATATATTGGGACAGTGTCAAAGATAGGTACATTTACTTTACTATTCCCATTTTGTACTCTTTAACTCTTCTAATAGTTCAGACAATGGGCCTAGTAGCGTAATTCGGAAGTCAGTTTGATGTTCAAAGTGAAATGCGAGGTCGAAACCCTAGTCGCCGAGTTTCATTATTTTTAAGTCCATTGTCAATTTTTGAAAATGAACTTAGGGAACAATCTTTATGGAATATCTTTTATTCTTACCTGTTTTAGATCTTATGTGTTGAAGTTATTATGTTTTATATAATCTTATTTTCATTTTGTGTAATCATATGTAATTTTTTTGGTATTTATTCATTTTTATTTATTTAAGAATTTTTTTTATTTTTTACTATTATTTTGGATATCTGTTTTAGACTATTTTTGTTATTATTCTTCTTTTTTTCATTTGTGTATGTGCAATATGTGTTTTAAATACGTATTCTAATGCACCCTCAATTAATTTTTTTTAGATCGCCGCCAGTCATACCTAGTCTTTTTATTTTTGTATTATTTTGTATTTGTCCCAGTGTGCAATAAAGAATATTTATATTGTATTGAATATCTTTTATATTAGCTATAGGGTCAAGAGCACTTTAAACTTGGCACTTAAAATTTAAATTCAATTCTACGTTCTTTTTGCAATAAATCGATCCAAAGTTTACGGTGTAAAGCTTGATGTGCTCTTGACTATACACCGTCTGTAAAAAATGAAAATTTGACGTAATTTTTCCACAAGGATTTCTATTACTCTATATCTCTTCCAGCGTGACTACAAAAATGGCCTAGATCCGTGGTACCCTCGCGAGCGTTGGGATTCTTACGATCCGATGCTTCTATCCGAAGGCGCCTTCGCAGCCGGCATGATCTTGTCATTCCTCAAACTGGTGCACATCTTCTCTATCAACCCTTACCTCGGGCCTTTGCAAGTCTCTTTAGGAAGAATGATATTGGATATCATTAAATTCTTCTTTGTTTATATGTTGGTGCTGTTTGCTTTTGGGTGTGGTGAGTAGAGACTTTCAATATCAATTTTAGGTTAGTAAACCATGTGGTTTAGTAATTTATAACTAACTAAAGCCAACTAAAGCGACACACCCTGAGGATCGAGCGCTTGGAGCCCCACCACAAAGTGAATTTTAATTAGCTTGTAGTGAAAATGCCCACCGATTATTTGGCAACCTATTTATTGAAGAAGGTGTTTTGGCCAAATTGTGTCGTTAACCGGTGATACCGAGGGCTGTTACCAGACGCCAAATTAGCCATGTTTTGTCGCCGACAAGTGCAATACGTTCAAACTAGTTATATAATTTTTAATTATATTTATTACATGTATGTTGGTATTTAAGTCATGTATATGGTTGATAATAGCTCGATTTAAATAAAAAACAAAATGTGTGAGAAGACGGTAGAAGATACTCACCAATTCAGAAATTCAGGAACCTTTGTAAGAGTTTGGTGTTTGTACTTGGATTTTCTGTATGAATAATTTCCTTACCAAAAGATTTCTAAAGACAAATAAATAGACAAATGCTTTTGCAACAGGTCTCAATCAACTCATGTGGTACTACGCCGAACTGGAGAAAATTAAATGCTATCATCATCCAAATGGAATACCAGATTTCGATAACCAAGAGCGAGCCTGCACTATTTGGAGAAGATATGCCAAGTAAGTAAGAAAAGATACCAATATTACTAAACCACATTATACTAAAGGTTATATTTACAGCTTCTGCGTACTTGGATGACAAAAATCCACGATAGTGACCCGTTTAGCTCTTGCAAGTCATCTCAATCTAAGATGTTTGAAATGAATGTTGTAAATGTATACAAATTTGTATTGGAAAAATGAAAAATGAAAAAAAAATGAAAAAAAAATGTTAAATGAATTCAAATTAGGTTTGCCAGAAGGCCGGGAAATCCGTGATTGTCCCGAAATTATCGTCTTGTCCCGTGTCCAGTAATTAGACTTTACTGTCCCGGATTCCGAACACTTTGAAGTTGTTTTTACTAACTTACTAGAGTCCTTTTCATAAAAGAAGTCCCTCAGACGCAGCGCTGTAGTCGTACGCAGGAATGTCAAAATATTGATTACGAATGACGTAACATTTTTGTAGGTACTCAATGAGTATAAAAACTCCCAAAAGATGGTAGAAAACAATGTTACGGCCATGTTATAACCGTCAAATTTGATAGGTCCTAATCGAGGCTTAATATTTAATTGTCATATATTTTTTGCTATGGCCCGTCTCCCTTACCCTACAAAATTGTCCGGGAAATGATAAATCAATATCTGGCAACCCTAATTCAAATGTATATTTTACAAGAGCAATCCCTAGAGTATCTTGTTCATTCTTCTCAAAATACTCTGCCTTACAAATGAGCAGTAGAGTTTAACTAATAACGATTTCAAGTGTAATTTGTTTACTTATGCAAGAAAGACGATTTGAATTTCGAATTTTGAATTTTACTCTGGCATATTTTAAGTTTAATCATGGACATATTTATTACACTAGTGTCGCACCCTTGGTGTTACAAGTTCACATCTAAAAAATGACAACTTTTCAGGAGAGATTTTTAAAGATTCTACAAACAAAATTAGTCGATAACTTTTTTATCTTAAATAGGAAATTTATAAAATTTCTCGTATACATTATTTGTTTCACGTAGTTTGTATTATTTTTATGACTTTCATGTGATTAAAGCACTTTTGACGTATGACCACATGTGGATAAATTATACCAATATACGTATTTTTTGTGTAGCGTTAAGTGACGGAAAGAACAAGTCGTGCGCGTGATAGTAAGCTACACGCCTGTCCATAACAGTTGCAATGCCACTCAGAGCTTTAAATCACAAAAATCTGAGGGCCACTACCACTACGCCCTTCACCCTGAGACATAAGTTGACAAGTCCCATGTGCTTGTAATTTCACCAGCACCCTTACCCTTCGCAACACAGTAATGCTGACATTACTGCTTGGCGGCAGAAATAGATAATAAGGTGGCAGTATTTTCCTAGACGAACTCTTTCACAAGGAGCTCTACGGCTACTAAACGTGCGTTATGTTTTAACTCAAAAACTTACCGAGTGCAGTAATAATGTATTGCAATAAAATTTATATTAAATTATAATTATTAAAAGTCATAATAAATATTTCTCGAAATCATAAAAAAATTTAAGTTGACAATGAGAAAATGTTAAAAGTATAAATTGTTATAACAATTTGACAAACACAAAGAAATTAATTATAATATTTTTCTTTCTTTGAGATATTAGGGCTGTAAACCAAAGTTAAATGCCATTCAAATATGATTATCGCATACGATTTATTGATATGAACAAACTCCGAAAACCTAGACCAAAACTCCAAAACTAAGTCATATCCTTGGTAATAAGTTCCACGTGTGATCATACGACAAAATACTACGAACTACATGAAACAATTTATGTATATATTAAATTTTGTAACTTCCTTATGGATGAAATTTTATAATACTCTCCTGAAATGTTTTGATTTTGCATATATGACCTTATTACACGAAGGATGTGATTCCTTGAAATCACACAATTTTTGCATAAATATTCCATGGCGAGAAGTATTTAAAACATAATAATGTGCCTTTAATAAATAGCCTTAACACGAATTTATTATTTTTTTTATTAAATAAATGAATTTATTAATTAAAATGAATCTGATATTTTTGATGTACTCGAGTATGATATCTACGCTCTTAGACAGCTTTCAGAAGCGAACATTCTCCACTAATAGTTGTATAATGTAATATAACTTGTATAATAATATTATTATTGCACGTTCATAGAGCAATTTTGATATGAGCTTCAATATATGACGTTTTCAACCGAAAATAGCTGCTCTATGAAAATTGTCTTGGGTTAGGTGCCACAGCTAACCATTACATGTTTTAATTAACTGCTGGCATGAATCTACGTGGATACTTTAATCTATGGACAAACCTTCTCTTTACCCATTTTAGAAATGTGATAACTTTTGCACTTTCGAAATCAATGTGTCTTAAATAGTATATTTTAGTCAATATCACGATGTTTTTACTACAATGATATTCATAGGGCCGGCTACCTCGCCCAACGCATTAGCGTAGCAATATAAAGGGGAAATGCTGCCAGCATCTTGGGCACCTTGGCGCGGGGACCCAATTTTATTCATGTAATTTAATTCTAGTTTAGTTTTTGGTATCTAAGATTGTATTGTACAGTGTCAAGAGCACGTCAAACTAGACACTTAAGATTTAAATCTAACACTTACACTTACGATAAGAACGGTCCAAAGTTCAAAGTGTCAAGCTTGACGTGCTCTTGACTGTACCAATGTATTTTAACTTATTGCCTAATAAAAATAATGTTTTTTTCATTCAATTAAGGTCGTTAATAACTACGACAGTCTTGTCGAATTCCACCGCCTATACGTGATGAGTCTTCTAAACACATATTCAAAGCACTTTACCGGCAACACCTATTCTCGTTACAAAAATCTGTCTAATTTGTTAAAATTTTACTATTACCTATTAGTTTTCATATCCCTATGTACTCTTTTTGGTAGCCTTTCGAATTTACTTACAGTTACACTTATATATTTACATATATCCGCACATGCAGGTATATATTGAATAGGTTATTTTAGATGCTATTCACACTTTATTACATTTATCATTTTAATGAACAATTTCCCTCCAAGTCGTTTATTATATCTTTCATCTCTCTCGTTGATTCTGACTAAAACCCAGCGCCTTAGGGAACTTAGGCATATAGGCATATGCCTAAGTTCCCTAAGGCAATTAGCTTAGGCAAGCATATGCTGAGTCAGCGTCATTTCACTTCTATGACAAAAAATGTTTTATTTTTCCTGTTGTATCTATCTAATCTGTATTTGTATCGTACTAGTGGATAAAGTGGTACCTATCTAATTATATTAATATTAACGTACGGATAATTATTATATAAACGGTGATATTCATATATTTTTTTATGAAAATACTTTACTAGTATGTTGGTATTATTGATATGAAAATCGAAAGTACACAAAGAAGGTTCCGTACATTCCGTAGCGCAATTGGGAGAGCGGTAGCTCCGGTTTGACGAGGTCGCTGGTTTGGGTCCAACCGAATCGAATGATTTTTTCTTTGTGTTAATTCGGTCAAACAATCATCAATAATAATGAGTGTGAAATTTGGACAAACTCCTGAAGAACTATTGCCATCAACTGTTTCTTTTTCAGCTTATTCGAAACTTCTCAGTCTCTCTTCTGGGCGTCTTTCGGTCTTGTGGACCTGACGACATTCGAACTGACCGGCATTAAGAGCTTTACCCGCTTCTGGGCATTGCTGACCTTCGGCTCATACTCCGTTATCAATATTATTGTGCTATTGAACATGCTTATTGCTATGATGTCCAATTCTTATCAGATCATTTCGGTAAGTCTTATGACGATTTTCTACATATGTGAGAGGTAAAGAGCCCTTAGTGCCAAACAGTAAACTACAAAGCGTTTTGAAGATAATGAGGCTCTTAATTAGGCATTTAAGGACAAATAAGATACGTTAAATAAAATACAAACGACGATACGAATTAATTTATTTTGTCATTGCGTGATTGTCAGTAGATTCTGAAGCAATGTTTGTAAAAACATCTCAATTCCAAAACGTATTTGAGGTCCTTTACTCTCCAACAGATCGATACCTTCAATAAACACTACGCCATCTTTATTTGTTTGTAATTTTCTGCTATTTTTGTAAACAACCATATTTATTTACTAATATTATGCTCCCTGAATTTTGTGAAAAAAAATAAAGAATCAAAATAAAAACAGAACAGGTCCAAAAATTAAATTGGCTTTGTGTTCATTGGAGCTATCGAGGTATATGTTTAATATTAAAATATCTCACAAAACGACTAGAAGGAACAAATTATGGAGACGAAATTCGCAACTTCACACAGTGTTAGGTATAAACTACTTACAATGAACCCGCGGGAACTGGAGGCCGACCACAACCTCTTAAAACAATTTACTTCAACCTTACATTGACTTTTCGTACCATAACGCGCTTAAGGTAAGCTTATTGTAATGTTAAAACTATGTTGTTTTATTGGCAGTCACAAAGACTATTCATTCACTCAGTTCGTACTATGACGCGACTATAATATTAAAGTAATATTGCTCTTATGTCAAATTTAGCGATCTTAAAACAGTTACACGGATGCAATGGGAACAATATTATTTTCAGTTTTATTGTCTTAATATTGATTTGTAATGATTAAAAGTTAAGTTGAACTTATTTATTTACATATATCACTTCAATATTTTGTTTATTTTTTTATATATTAGCACATAGTACATAATTTTTCGTTAAATAAAAATACGCGATATTTCTTTCGTAGAATTATAACGGCGCCATCTATATGCTCCTTGGCGAAGCTAACAGTTGACACCAGACTATTGTTCCGATTTCACAGCGTGACTATCAAGACTCAGCTTGTTTTATTTATTTTTCTTCATGAAAATGCGGAATAATAATTGAAAACAACGTAATTTTAATAGATTTCATTATTACATGCGTTTCTTTTTTAGCAGTTGAAATTCTCTGAATGTAAATAATATTAAGTACTTAAACATTTATACTACGATAAGACGATTCGGAACATCAAAAAAGAAAGAGATGGCATTACGAAGGTCACATAGCGTTATCTCTTTCCTATTTTTAGTAAGGACAATATTGGGAAATCATTCGTTCTTTCAATCACTTTTACAATAATACATTGCGTGGTTGACAGGTTCGTCATGGTGCGAATATGAGTGATACAATAATAAGCTTACTTTAAGCTTACATTGTAATAAGATTGTTTTTGGAAAGGTTATGGTAGGCCCCCTGCTAAGGCTTAACACTTGCTATAAACCAAATAACCCGTCAGAGAAGTCAGCTTATTAATAAATGCATTTATTGTGACAGGAACGAGCTGACATGGAATGGAAATTTGCGCGCAGTACACTCTGGATGTCATATTTCGACGACGGCGACACTGTTCCTCCACCGTTCAACATCATACCTACCCCGAAGCAATTAGTGGGATGGATAAATAACTGTTTCACCAGCAGAGACAGAGGATCTATTATAGTAACTTTTATAATATATTACTTAATCGTATCCATGGTATAAATAAGACTAAATGTGATCACCAGTTATCGGAAATGAGGGTGTTAATTTACCTAAAGTGTGAATGTTTCCTTAGTATGGATATACCCATTTCGTTATCATTGCATAATATTATAAAATTTCTTTTTTTACTGTTTACTTGCTAAACATTCCAAAACATAGGTTGTCTCATGTTTATTTTTTAAGTGCCTAAAGCATTTAAATACGTAAGTGCCTATATAAACACAAGTACAATATTATTTTTGAGACAATAATGTGTAGCAACAACTGAAGCGACACAACCTCAAATGGCTTTGGTTGATTCCGCATAACAGTGAAGGTGTTGAATCACTCACTTTGGAAAAAATATATAACAAAATTGAAAATATACAGTGATTAATGGTCCCGGTGATACACGGTGTGAAAACACAATTCCTAAAAAATTTCACGATAGAAAAAACATAAACGAGTTGTTTTGAATATCATAGCAGTACTCTCTGTCGCACCTTGCGCTCTTCTTCTACTCTTTCTCTGAACTGTCCTATCCATTCCTCAAAATACTTTTCCAACTCCTTCACTATTAGGAGCATCAAGCTGTGGAATGACCTGCCTGAGTCGATCAGACGAGCAAAGACTATTGAGTCATTTAAAATCCTAGTTAAGGCTCATTACCTTAAATTATAAATTCTACTCTGCTGTCTTATTTATTGGTTTTCTTTTCTTTTTAATTTTTTAATTTTCCTCTTCTGTGGTGATAACATATTTATTTGTATGTATTATATTAGTATTTAAGTATTTATGTAATTTATATGTTAGTAGATATTTATTATTTATTTCATTCATATATTATGATGTTTAATAATAATATCATATTTATTGCGCCCTCTATTATTATTACTACTTTTAGTTTATCCTATCACCCCAAGGTTGCCTGGCAGAGATTGCTATTTAGCAATAAGGCCGCCTGTTGTACACTGTATTTTTGATTGTTTTGTATTTTTGCTTGTTTATTGTGCAATAAAGAATATTGAATTGAATTAAACTCACTTCGAAATTTTACAAGAAAACCGCTGTATTCAATAGGTACTTTACACATAACAATTATTTTTTTTAAATATCAACTAAACTAAATAGAACACGTATAGTATACAATATACATTTATCAAATAGCTTTAATTACGTTTGTAAAAAAATAAATTCTGGAATAAAGCCAGTGTTAGTACAGGAAAAATTTTAATTCGATCTAAGGTTTACTTTTAATGGGAGACAACAATTTGTCGCCAATGTACTCAAATTTCAATAAATAATATGCATTGTCAAATATAATCAGTTCCGAGAATTCCCGAAATTTGTAGAAGGGAATGTCCGCATTATTCTTTAGTTTAACTAAATGAACTCCCACGATTCCGATCACAAGTGATCATACATCAAGTGCTTTTATCATCACATGAAAGCCGTAAAAATAATATGTAACTACTTGAAACAAATTACGCATATGTAAGATTTTATAACACTCCCATTCAAACATAAAATGGTATCAATTAATTTCCTTCGTAAAATCTAAACTTCTCTTGAAAAGTTGTCATTTTGCAAATACGACCTTATTACACAAAGGGTGCGATATAATCCTGCTATTCATTGAAATCAGTTCAGCAATGTTTGGATTTAGGTTTCTAAAATAATCTGATTACCAAAAAATGCCTCTCACTCGAAAAACTTAAGCCTAAATTTACATAATGGTAGATTCAGTGGCCTATATGGGTTATTCTGTACATTCAAGCAAGGTATACTGACCTGATGGACTGTCTTTACGCTATGATTAAGTGTGGAATATAACCCACACTGAAATTAGCATTCTCCTCCAACACACTCCGGAAAATCACCTTTCTCTTTCAAATTCACTTCTCTCTGTGAACTGACACTAAACTTAAACGTAAGACCTACTTTGATTATCCGAATATAATTATGGATATTGAACGGGAATGTGTAGAGGTCATAGAGGTGTAAATTCTTGTATTTCATGACTGTGCAGAAAAAGGGAGTAGGAATTAGAATCTTCTGTACCAACCCTTACATGCGGATAGCACAAATGTTTTGAGTGCAATTTTACAACCTTACTATTACTTCTAACAGAACAAATCCCGCGAGAAAGCACGTCAAGACCATGAAGCGGTAATGCGGGTCCTGGTCCGGCGATACGTGATGGCTGAGCAAAGAGCTCGCGATGAGGTCGGCGTCACCGAAGACGACGTTATGGAGATCCGACAGGATATCTCCACGTTACGATATGAGCTCATCGATATCCTGCATAACAATGGCATGAAGACGCCTAGGATCAATCAACAGGATGCTACAGGTAAAAATGTGTTATCTTGCCTGTCTACTAAACTTTATTGAAAGAAAATCAAATACATTTGAGCCCAATAAATCCTTTTATAGCAAGCAATAGGTAATGTGATTAGCTCACACAAATTTACATTACATTAGCCCATTAGTATTTTAGTAGAAATTACAAAAGTTAGGACACAATTTGTAAAATCTGTTCTTTAAAAACAGTACTGCGGCATATTTTAAATTATCGTAACAGTGCAGTTACGATCAATCTTAAACTGTTCAAGGTGCTTTTAAAAAGAAGCAGGTTGAAAATCCGAGCCGCCACTTTTACAGCTTATATTGTTACCCCTAAATAAAATCCAATATACTTATTTAAAATCCAAGTTCACTATCGGATCAAGACTGAGCTGCTGGCCCCACCACGGGTCTTTTATAACTTTCGTTGAGGTGGTAGTTTGAAGTTAGGCGTGAATACCCAGGGCGATCCGAAATTGTACTAAAGTAGTCAATACAACAAGTAAACAAGTCATGCGCGAAGTTAGGGAATACCATAGTGGTACTAAAATAGTCAATAGAAGAAGGAAATGGGTAAAGCGTAACAATATGGTGTTCCTGATTTCTGAAACAACCACTGCGAAACTGCGAATGAAAGAAAGATGAGACTCGAACTCTATGCTGGGGCTGGTAGTAAGAAATAGAAAAAATACGCCAATTTTCTTTTTCAGTATCGGGCAAGAAAGGCAAAGTCATGGAGCGACGCATCCTGAAGGACTTCCAGATCGGAATTGTGGAAGGCATAATCAAAGATGTTATTTCACGCGAGACCAAGCCTAAAGATGTTTTCAGTCAGATTGCTAAGGCGATTGTTCGACGGGGAAGTACTGACAGGTTCGGACGTTTTGGTATATTCATTGGTTTAATGGGTTCTAGTGTAAATTCAATGTTTAAAAATTGGTGATCCTAACACAGATGCCTATCGTACTTGTGATAACAACGAACCAAATATTTGGTTTCGTTTAAAAATGTGCGCCTCTGAAACTGTATTCGTGATCTTTTTTGCAATTTCCGATATGGTGAGACTTACATGTTACACCCGAGCAGTAATTTGTGTTGAAGTCGACTTTCTTTGAATTCTTTTTAAAACTAACTTTTTTTATAGCAAGAAACGCGACTGGAATGCGGTCGTGCGCACGAATACGATGCAGCGTGACCCTATTGGTACAACGGCTGAACTACAAATCAAGCGCTGCCGACAATCACTTAGAGCTCATATCCTTGACAATGTTGAAGCTCGTACCATTGATCCGCAGAAATTGCTAGGTATGCGCAAGGAACACCTTGAATGAATCATAATAATTCTATCTTATCCAAAGATCAGAGTCCTGATTTTGATTCAAATCGGAATCGATCCGATCGGGTAGTCTCAAAATCAGATGAGTTTCTGAGCGAGAAGATGAACCTGATTCAAATACTATATCTTTCTAATTTGTGAGTTAAATCAACTATTGTCCCGATTAGAAATGTTAAAAGTTTCCGATCGGCCAGTTGTGAATCGCAATTATGCGCCTCGACTCGGAAAAGACGCAGCTTCCAATCGGGAGAGTCAATCAAAATCTAACTGCTGGTTGGACATTATGTTGGGCCACGCAATTATTGCAAAATGTTCAGTTCTTTATTGCTAACTGTAGCTTACGACATTTGCTTATGAAATGGATTAGGAGTTTAGCGTTTACATAAGTAGTTTTGGATAATGCCTCCGGGGCATAATCTGATACTCATAAAACAGGCTTAAATCCCAAATTTAAAATGAGGTCACTGTGTGATTGTCAATCACATTTATTTTGGTAAACATTGTTAATCACTGTTCAACTTTCAGAGTACAACCCAAATCTGCAAGAGGTAACGCCAACAACGCGAGTAGCATACGCGAAATTCATGCGCAGCAAGATCAAATCCGATTTCACGGCGAAAGAAAACAGAAAGAAAACCTCAGAATCCGAAATCAGTTTGGAGGACGAGGTGTTTGAAACGCCCAAAAAGCAAGCCTCCAAAAGATGTAAGTCTTATTTGTTTCAATTAAGCTATAAATTTTAATTATTTTATTTACATACATATCCTGCGCTGATCCCAAATAATGAGGTAAGGGGAGGATAATGATTCTACCTAATTAAGAGATTGAGAAGTGACGTTTGATATTTTATGTTTTGTAGTGTTGTGTTTGTGTAAACAATTTAACAGATTTATTCTTATTTGTACAGATAAATCGTTCCGTAGCAGAACGCCAATCCCGGAAACATCAGACGACGAAGGACTTAAAGACAATGAAGTAAAAGTGGAAGCTGATATTGAAGATAAAGGTACAATTTACTAATAAAAGTTCAAATTGCCTTTCTGAAAACGGTACTGCGGTGACGAATACCTGCGTACTTCATTTTATACCACCTTCTTAATTGTTTCTCAACGTCCATCGCTCAAATCAATAACATCATGAGCTAACCGTATCTATGTTAAATGACAGAGACAAAACTCTGGTATGAACTGACGTCGATTGTCTAAAATGTATTTTTCAGATCGTGCACCCATATCATCAAACCAGGTTTAAGCTATCAATCCATACACATTACTTTATTGTCCGGGACGCTGGCCCAAGTACCTTTAGTGAAAGAAAAGATTTTATGAACTCCGATATACAGGTTTACAAATTGCATTTCTTTGCCGTTCACCATGTTAGCCATATCCTTCGTACTCGGGTGTTTCTTATTCTTCCAACAGCGTAGATTTAAGTTTCAGATGACATTGATCCCATTCAAACCAATCACGTCTAGCGTGATGTCGTTGCCAGAGATTTAATTAGTTAAACTGACATGACGGTGATTCAGGAGCCAAAAAAGTTCATTCCCGTTTCGGCTAGCATTACTTCTAATATATATTTTAGCCTCAATCATATTTCCAGGTTCCGAAGGTGGATCGGAACAAACAAGACCATTGAAATCATCGTCTCAAGAACCATCAGAACCGAGTACACCAGGTTACGACCCCATCAGTGATAAACGTCTACCACCGCCACCGCAATTTGATACCAAAGAGCATATCGTACAAATCGAAGAACCCGAATCTCCATCAACAACTCTTTATATAACTAAAGAAGAAGATTATTGTTTGCAAAAGCCTTTAAGTCCTACTACGAATGAATGCTCTCAGTTAGAACAAATACTTTCCGCTTCGACTCTGGACTCCCAGTATAGACAAATGACAAAAGACCCTGAATTAGGTCTACCTGAAGCCAGTTCTTCAAAGGTTTCAGAACAATCACCAGTAATATCTGAATCTACAAGCGGGACTCCTAAATTTAGTTCTACATTGACTGCTCCTAGTCCGAGTCCTACGACTTCCAGTCCCACGACTCCTAGACATACTTCTAGCCCTAGATCTTCTGGAGTTAGCCCTGCAATATCCCCTTCGATGACTACTAAAACTGATAAGGGTAAGTCCAAAGTGACTGGCAAAGTTGTTTCTGGCTGGCTATAAATTTTAACACTAAGTGATGCCTCATTGCATTACCTAAATTGCAATGTGCTAAGAAATTTTGCTCACACTTTACTTACTACTTAAAATTGCCTTTATTATATGTTTAAGTGTGAGTAATAGCCACTGAAATTAGTATAATGTAAATGGGGTTTTCAAATTAGTATTCGACCCTGAAAATAATGGTAGAGCTAGATGCCATTTTTCGTGTTTTCGGTAGACGATGTAAGTTCTTAAAAATCCGTAAGAAATGAAGGGCTGAAATATAACTTATTAGCTTATAATATATGTATTTTGACCAAAATTGACGTATTAGTGAGATATTAAATGCCTTAGTATAATGAGAGCAATAACGAGAAAAAGATTATTTATTATGTAAGAATTAATATAAATCAAACAAAAATTGCAGAAATGCACGATATTTTTATGATATTAGTAATTAGGATGTAATTAAGTATATACGTCAGAATGAATGAAAGGAAAAGGTGTAAACACACTATAACCGGCTTGCAACTGATTATAGAGGCAGTTTTCCTATAAATTATGTGGATTGGCGGTGGCGAGTATAATTATGGAAAAACAGATTTCTTTTGTTTCAATTAAGTAATGTATACTATAAGTTAAGTTGACTGGTATTTATGTAGGCATTATGTTCCATACACATAATATCTTTGCATTTTACTCTGTCACGGCTCAAGTTTGAATTACGTAACCCTACGAGAGACAGACTTTCATAATTACAAATTTCAATTGTAATTCAGTAAATAAAAATATCCATGAAACAAAGTACAAATTGTACAGTCGACGCCCTAAGATACTCGGGTACAACTAGCTGACCATGTGGTTCTAAGTACATAAGCGTGAAGAATCAGCGTTAAACAAATTCACTTTAACTTGTGAACTGTAATAGTATTTTTCATCACACTTGCTCGTAAATAGTGTATTTACGTGCAGGCTATCTTGACTACAATGCCCCAAACCGGCCTATATGCCTAAAACCCTCGGGCCTTTTCCTTCTCATTACAGCTATGGTAGTGTAATAAGAAAAAAGGCCCGAAGATTATATTTGGGACATTATAATCAAGTTAGTCTGCATGCTATAATACTAATCACTCGCAAATGCGATGAAAAACATTGTATGTTTACACAGGCGGTACGGGAATTACGAACTTCGGAATTACGGGCTTCTAATAGAGTCTCGTTCGTAATTCTTTATTTATCGCCCTTAATACACAATGTACTATTATGCAATCATTGTATTATATGTAATGTGGGTTCTTAAAGTCGAGTACCGTGTTTAGGCCGTGAGGCTTTGCCGAGTGGTCTAAGTAATAGGTACGAGATTTTCGCTCCGTGGCGAAACTAACAGTTGACACTAGACTAGTTCCGAATTCACAACGTTACTATCAAGACTCAGCTTCTTTTATTTATTTTTCTTCATGACAATGCGGAATAATTATTTAAAACAATGTAATTTTAATACATTTTATTATTATATACTTTTATTTTTTTAACAGTCAAAATTCTCTGAATGTAAATAACATTACGTACTTAAACATTTATACTACGATAAGACGATTCGGAACATCCAAAAAGAAAGAGATGGTATTGTATAGTTGACATAGCGTTATCTCTTTCTTATTTTTAGTAAGGAATAGACAATATTGGGAAATCATTGGTTCTTTCAATCACTTTTGCAATAATACATTACTATGTTGACATGTTCGTCATGGTACGAATATGAGTAATATTATAATAAGCCTACTTTAAACTTGAAATAAGATTGTTTTTGGAAAGGTTTTGGTAGGCCCCCAGGAGTAGAATAATCAGTGAATGACATTTTAAGAAACCTTTTAAGCCAATTTGATCTTTAACGTATAAGCTGGAATTCCTTTACAATTTTTCTATTGAATGTGTAAAATGGTAGAGGGTCAGATATCTTAGGGTATCAACTGTACATAATAGAGATTCAAAACCTGCTTTAAACGCCATATCGAGTTGAGTAGTGGACTTTAGTCACGATTTTGAGGTCAGGGTGAACTTTTCATCATAATTAACTATGTTTGTAATAGACAATAGCAAGTTGTTAATTGAATTTGAAACGCTGTTTCACTGAACAAATATTACCGTTTGTTAACTTAATTTGTAAGTGAATTAAAATAAATTGTTTTACGATTTAAGCACTTTGTTTGTTTTGGTTCATACATAATATCGATTTTGTAGTTAACCTACTTTCTTCGTAAGGTCAATGAAAATTTTTGGGTATAATGACCGTACCAGGTGAAACTGTACTACACTGTAGGTACTCACGCACACTATAGGTACTTTGCATTGTACATAATAAAAAAATACGAAATCGCCTAGACGTCGAAACAGCTAGATTGGTTTAATTCAGTTACTTTCACAGTTTAATGACACACGGCAATTTGCTTTGGTTTCCTGTAGAAACGTGCGGTTAGGGCAATTTACAATCGGAGCCCCTGAGTGTCTATGAGTAGAGATGGAAAAAACTGGTTATTTTTTTAAACCTTTAAAGGTTATGCTTTTTTTTAAAAAAGCGTGCTTTTTAAATCCCGTTTAGTTTGAAACTAACAAAATGGTTTAGAAAACGTTTAAGCGCATAGACTTTTATGTTAAAAAAAGCTTGCAACGTTGTTTTATTGATAGCGAAACGCGAGTGTCGACCACTAAAGGTTTTAAGATAAGCAAGTTTTTTTGTAAAAAAAAACGATCTATATTTTGAACATAACATTACTATATTAACATTTTGTTCATTGGCGTTTAAAAGCGTTTAAAAACATAAGTTGTTTAACTTTTGTAGTTGTTAACCGTTGAAATGGAAAATACTGCTTGTTTTTTAACGTCAAAACGTACGTTTAAAAAGCGTGCTTGTAAAAGCGCTTTTCACCTAAACGCTTTTTAGGTTGATGCTTAAAAAGTCGTTTAGAAAAACGTTTAAGCGCATAGACTTTATGTTTAAAAAAGCTTGCAACATTATGTTGAATTAATTTGTTTAGGAAACATAGATGGCGCTACTTGAAACTTAGGCACGTTGTATGAAATTATGAAATTATTGAGTATCTATAGAACTGTGACCAGTGGCCAGTGACCAACGCTTACATATTAATAACGCTTAAAATGAAAAACGTGCTAATGCGTTTATTTTAAAAACCAGACTTTTTAAAATGTTTTTCGTTTAAACGCCCACCTCTATCTATATCTCTCATCTATAGGTCTCATCACGCCTTGAACCTCTGCAACTGCGTAGAGATGTTGCATCGCTTAGCGCCTTTTACCGCATGTACCATGGTGAGTGCTCTGAGGAGCTGTTCAACCTCATCCCCCCTTCCCCGTTCCTGCTCAGAAGCACGCGTGCTGGCCTTCGTAGTCACCGTTTCACTACCTGCCGCATTCCATCGCGTAATAAAAGGTTCGGTGGCTCCTTTCTCTGCCGCACGGTTGACAAATGGAACTCCCTTCCGGCACATGTCTTCCCTCCCTCTTATGATATGGGGTCCTTCAAACGAGGCGTGAAGAGGCATATTGTAGGCAGGCAGGGTGGAGGCGGCTAGTGCAGTGAGAATTCCATCGCTGCACTAGGTTCCTTCGCGTTTGGATACCACTTTCCACTTAACATCAGGTGGAGTGGAGTCATTTGCCTGTCAGGTATAAAAAAAAAATAATAAATAAAAAAAAAAAAAAAAGAGATAAGTTTAAAGAGATTAACATTCTTACACTAACGCCACAGCACATTTATGAAAATATTATTTATTTGAAAAATAGTGACAGACATAACATTAATACGAGGAATAACAATAAACTTCTTGACAGTCGTCTTCATAAAGTCTCAAATTCATTTAAGGGGCAATGTTTACGCTTCTATAATAAGTTACCGATTGATATTCAAAATATGCCATTTACAAGGTTTAAAACTGTTGTGAAACAAAAACTTTATACACTTTTGTATGTACTTTCATATATAAATGGATCGCTATTTTATCGTTGCTTGTCTAGCGCGTTCCCCCATCTTGATTTCCAATTTTTCTTTTCTATTATGCTTTTTCTTATTCATTTTCACCGGGCAATAAGTAGTAACATAATATTGTGAAAATCAATAATATTAACTAAACATTTATATGAAAAAGCGTATAAAATTCTTGCTTTTCAAAGAAAATATGTCTTCGATGGCAGTTTTTCCGACTTCCTCCACCATCCACCGAAACCAAGCTCCGGGATTCAGAAATATATATATATATATATATATATATATATATATATATATATATATATATTTATTATACTTACTCGTAATCGACAATACTTGTAAAACCAATAAATTGTTATTGTATTCTAATTGTTACAACACATATTATAAAAAATATTACATAAATATCAGTTTTTGAAACATCGTATATTAACCGAATTAAAAAATCAGCCTGGACCAGTTCCACCGAATTAGATATTTACACGTAAAAAGTCCTAAAATCGGCAACGAATCATCCACATGTTCTCTCCAGCCGCAGGTGGACGAATAGTACGAACGCATTGCGAAACTTCTAAACTGCTTCACTTGTGATGTGCAGCGTGATTAGTAATGACTACCGAATTCCCGCGTAAGCGTTGGACATGCAGCAATTTTGGTATTGTGACAAAACTAATGTCTAGTTTATTGTGGAATTCAGATTATAAATACTATCATCTAATATTATACGTGAACTAAAGTCTAATATTGATATACGGTTTCAATTTTGAGAAGAATGACACTTTGTTTTGGATTCTGCATTCGGGATACGCCGTTGTCAGGTTTTAGGCATTTCAGATTTTTTTCCAAAAGGTCCGAAAAGTTTACTGGGAAGATTTTGTGCTCTCCAGTTAGCTTTCGATCTATATTCTATTTGTTGTAGATTTTTGTTTTGATAAATAAGTGGAGTTTAGTGCTTGGACACAGAAAATTGCGGCATTGGAGAAATGTCCTAATAGAAGGCGATCATTAGCTCAGAATACTAGCAAATAACACAGCTAAGTCGTAGCTGCTTCGTTAGTTACTCATTGCGAAAGTTTTGTCTGAGAAAACTTTGCTTCAGCACGTGGTAACCAAAGTTGACCATATCCAATAGATAAGTCTATACGAAATTTCTCTTTCACCAATTTTCGACGCTACTATTGTCTAAAAAGCTACCTAGCAATTAGGCTACATGACTACACTTATATTATTGTTTGTGTATCTTTGTAGTTTTCGACATGTAATAAAGAAAATTTCATATATTAATTCCGTCGTTCTATTTATTGTGCTTTCCTACTGAAGTAAACTGAAAAAGCAACTCAGCCGTCGTGCTTACCTTTTATAAAATTACAGTATAACACTGAGGTGCCCTCTTTCTTACAAAAAAACAATCATAATCATCGTCACGAAATCGGTTCACAAATTGCATACAAAAAAATTAAGACAAATAAACAAAACATAATTAAGTCGAATTGATCCTCCTTCTTTGAAGTTAGTTAAAAATGGAAATAGATATATAAATAAAAGAAAAATTTTAGATTTAAAAAATAAAAGAAAAGCTTACATAATAATAATTTTATTTTCTTTCAGTAATCCAATGTAGTACAAAATCAACGAAAGTCGATATTATTTTTTCAGCTTACAAAATATGTAACTTTATTTCACAGATGAAAGTGCATCACTATAGACGATTTGGATTACGAGTGTATATTTAATTTTTTGAGACGTAAGGGATGGCTGTACGAGGATTATTACAATGTTATTTATTACAGTCCAATGATGATATAATTCATTGTTATAGTCGGATTTTTAATTACGATTTTTTTTGTAGAGTTGTAATGGCTTTCGGATCAAGCATTTATAAAATTAGAGATAACAAACTGACGTTTAATGAGTTACCCGAGTTACCAGCTTAATAAAAATAATGCATTCTTAAGTGTCAACGTCAGTGATTCACTCGCTAGATCATTAAAGTAAGTACATATTTTTTTAACAATTTGTAGGTTATTAATTTATAAACATAAACAAGTTGAAACCAGAAAACTTATTATATTGTTCAGCAGATTAAATAATCAAAAATCTTTAACTTTTTTGACTGACTCTTATTTCAGTGATATAATGAGAAGTAGACCAAAGACAATAAATACAATAAGCAAGTATATTGCAAAGAGTCATTAGCAGATGTCAGTGTATTATCTATGAATAAGAAATCCGACCGTAAGTAACATAAATTTTATTTTGTAAACAGAAACGAAAACGACAATCAAATTTGTAATTACAAACCAGACCAGATTATTTTTGGCATAGGTACACGCTGTAACGTTTTCTGCCGTCCTTGTTATAACTAACGCCTTGACATATTGGCATCTAAACCCTTTTTTTTTTTCGGTAAAAAAAATGTCCAATACGCTGATTTTCCTTAACCATAAAACTGAAACTAATTAAGATATAATAAAATCGCTGATTCCAGATATTTTATTACAGATAATTTCGCTAAAAATGTCGATTACGTTAGTTATTACGACAATGAATGAGATAAGTTTTGAATGTTGACATCGAAAGCGTATTGCCAGTGGTAAAAATACTTCTAAAATATTATTTTGTGAAAATACCAACTGCCTCTGTAAAAACATAGGATCAAATATAATTTCTAGGCGACTGGAAAGGTCTATCAGACATTCATATTAGTCATGAATTTGACGCTCTGGCACTACCTACCGCTCGCACAATTTACACAATTTACATTTTGATCCTTTCTCCTACAGAAGTAGTTACAACGTTTTAACATAACGCATATGAAACCATATCGTAATTCAAAAATGATGGAATTGAGAAAACACAATTTGAAATTATCATCACTAATTACAAGTTTCTTATTTTCCCGATACTTCGCAAAGGTTACATGCTTCATGGTCACGGCTTGACTGGCCAGCGGCACAGGACAGCTTTAGGAACAGACATATCTCTCTACCCTCTTTCGCTGTCAATGGCAACCCTCATCTCCATTATTTAGGGCGTTATCGTTGTCACTAATTTTTTTTTGGTACTTAAGTGAATTATTTTCAGCAATACGTAATAGAAAAGGTAGTAGTGGCAGGTTCTATTAAAAAAATAACAAATGAATATATACATCAGAAGATAAAAACCACTCAGGGGGGCCTACCATAACCTTTCCAAAAACAATCTTATTTCAATGGAAGCTTAAAGTCAGCCTATTATAATATTACTCATATTCGTACCATAACGAACCTGTCAACCAAGTATAATGTATTATTGCAAAAGTGATTTAAAGAACGAATGATTTACTTAATGTTATTTACATTCAGAGAATTTTTGACTGTTAAGAAAAGAAAAGTATGTAATAATAAAATCTATTAAAATTACGTTGTTGTCAATAATTATTCCGCATTTTCATGAAGAAAAATAAATAAAACAAGCTGAATCTTGATAGTCACGTTGTGAATTCGGGACTACAGTCTAGTGTCAACTGTTAGTTTCGCCAAGGAGCATATAGATGGCGCTGTTATAATTTTACGAAATAAACATGGCGTATTTTTATTTAACGAAAAATTATTTACTATGTGCTATTAAATAAAAAATAAACTGAAAATAAAAAATAAATTGAAGTTCAAGTTAACTTTTAATCATTACAAATCCATATTAAGACAATAAAACTGAAAATAATATTGTTTACTTTGCATCCGTGTAACTATATTAAGAGTGCTAAATTTGACATAAGAGCAATATTACCTTAATGTTAAAATCACGTCATAGTACGAACTGAGTGAATGAATAGTCACAAAGCTACCAATAAAACATCATAGTTTTAACATTACAATAAGCTTACTTTAAGCGGTTATGCTACGGTTATGTTATTATACAATGTAAGTTTAGTTACATTGACGTTAGTTAGTTAGTTGAATATTTCTAAGAAGTTAAATAATTAATGCGAGGTGAACTTTTTAATCTTTGTGAAATAATTTTATATACAGGTACTGTTATTTTATTTATAATTATATCAAAATTTTCTGTCGAATTTATAAAAGTTTTTCAAATTGTGTTTCATAAACTACATCATTTTTGAGTTATTTATTACGGTGTTTGATTTCAAGTGCGATAAAATAATTAAGTACTTAAAAACTTTAAGTACTTAAGGTGACACTTTATCAAATCATGATTATATTACAATAATAATAAAGAATTTTACGTATTATCTAAATACAATTAAAATGGCCGATTTTTAAGATTGTCGTAGTCGTGACTTATTACGTTTTTATATTTGATAACATTGACAATTGTTTGCAAATACCGCATTAATTATGATTAAAGGAAACATTTAAAACCAAATATAGTAATAAATATAAAAATACAAATAGGGTTAGTAAACACTACGTTTTAAGAGGTATATCGACGCTGTAACCATGTTTAATTGTATTTCTGGCGTCTGTTATAAAACTTATAAAGCAGGATAGCAAAGTGATAATTTCATAACGCAATACATTGGTACTTGAGTGAATTATTTTCAGAAGTACGTAATAGAAAAGGTGGCAGTGGCAGGTTCTATTAAAAAACAACAAACGAATATATAAATCAGAAGATTAAAATCACTCAGGATCAAGGGAAGTAACACTTTGAATATTTCTAAGAAGCTAAATAATTATTGCGACGTGAACTTTTTAATCTTTGTGAAATTATTTTATTTTATTTATAATTTTATTTAAATTTTCTGTCGAATTCATAAAAGTATCAGATTATACACTTGACTCATATAAAAATATGAAGTTATTTATTAGTATATTCGCTCTTCATTTAAATTATTTTTTTCTTCAAATGCCAAATAAATAAGAGAAACAGTTAAGGACTTTTGTTTGGTACGTAATCAAAGTACCAACACGCGCTGCTCCGCCTAATAGTAAGCAAGAATTTAAGGATGGCTTACAGACTTTTCTCCCTAGTTTCTGGTATACTACATCTATAATCCGATCTTTTTAATAACAATTCAGCTTTTTGTTCTTGCATTAATCATCCAGTTCATACATTTTTGGCCATTCGGGTTTTTGGAACTTGTATTTAATTATTCTTCTCAATCTCATCCAATTTGTAGTTCTTACACAAGTAGCCATCCAGTTTTTTGTATCTGTAGCCATCTTCGATTTGATTCTTCCATCTATAGCCTACCAGTCATACCAGTAACATCTATAGCCATCCAGTTTTGGGTTGTCGTTTGATGGTCTTGACTTCGGGCACCTTTCCAGAAAGCGCGACGGGGGAAGCAGGCGGGATCAGTTGCTCAGTGCTCGATGTGGACGAGAGGCGCTGCGTAGGTGTGCTCGCGCGCTGTTAGTAAAATATTATTATAATTCCCAAATTGTTGAACCTGTTGTGCTATATCGACTATGTATAAAACTAGAGCTTTCACACCGGGAGTTTTGGTCTCGGAAATTTTACGAGTATCGACGGTTTTTTGTTGTTGTAAGTTTCGGAAATATCGAAACTTTTGAAACTTAAGTCACTTAGTTTAACAGTGTTAAAAATTGATTATTAACATGGCAACACTGTAGAGTGGAGGTTGGTGTAATCTGTGGAGATTGGAGAACGACACTAATACATTCAGGTCGTCTCCGTCTACAACTACATTAAACACTTGCCATCCTCTAAACATTAAACGCCCTTTGTTTCTTTCGTGCCCAACGATAGAAACCTACATTTGAAATAGTCTCAAAAGTATCTTTTTCCGAGGACAAGGAAATATAACGAGATTCAAAACCCTATAAACATAGAGCGCATCCCGGATTGCTATGTGAAAAATTGCTTAATAAGAGCACAAACCTCTTACCCTTAATAAGAGCACAAAATCTCTTACCATTAATTCCTAATCCCATTATCGCAATTAGTTAATTTTTTGTCTTATTAGTCTAGGGACGAGTCATCGAGGGTAAGGTAGACCCAGTTCTGGGTGCTTAAACTAATTTAAAACTAAAATCTATTTGGGCACATTTACATAGGAAGCGGGTTCTAGGAGCCCAGTAAATCTACAAGCGCTAAAATCGATGCAGGTATTTGGTACCAAGTAGACACACACAATGCAAACAAGCGCCGACAACGACGCAGTTAGTTCAAAATTGTATCTATCTTTACAAACGTTTACAAGTTTTCTCTGTCGTATTTTCCTTCATCAAGTTGATTCAAGTGACGTTTTTAAACATGAGCATATAATTTTAAAATAGTGGTGTATGTTCATTATGCTATATCTACTGTCATTTCTACTGTAACTACCATGAAGTGATTCCCAAATACAGATTTTTCTATTACGGGAAATTCGGTGTTGAATTAGTCTTTTTATTTAAACTACATCCTTGTTATTACTGATACGAAAATCGAACTACACAAAGGAAATTCCTTCTGTCTGACTGGACTCGAACCAGCGTCTGTTGCCACACCAAGGCCAGCGCTCTTACCAACTGAGCTATAGACCGAGTCAGTAAATCTTAGGAGTTTCTCTAAGTGCCTGATGCAGATCTTGGTGCTAAGTTTAAACGGCTCTTTTGCTATCAGGGAAAGAGAAACCTTTTGAGAAAGTTTTTCACTACATCTTTATCTTATTGCACTTGTTATTAGGTTTTCCACAAAAAAACACATTATTTTTAATGTAATCTTCAAGTTTTTATTAAATGTCACGAAGTTTTACTACCACGATACTCAATTATTTTTGGCTAAATTGCCCCATTAGTTTGTTATTATATATAATTATTAATAACAATAGAACACTTAGAAATAATTCCTTCGATCGGGCCGTATTTGAACCGACGTCTTCAAGCAAACCGTGGCAGACACTATGCCAACTAAGCCACGGAACGATCCAGCGGACCTTACGAATTTTTGTATGTGCTTGTTTTGTCGGATCTTTGTTTTTGGTTTTTAATGACTTTACGCCGTAGCGCTATTTGTGGGAAAATTATTTCTTCGCTCATGAGAGAAGGAGGATTTCTTCACTCAAGATTCATTATTATTATTGTCTTAGATAAATGAGTCAGGTTAGAGTAAGATGGCGTTGGTGGTCTCTACCTACCACTCCTGTAGGACAAGGGCGTGAACTCATGTATGTATGTATCTTGGATAAACTGCCTCCGTGGCCGAACAGTTACCACGCCGGACTACGCAGAGGTCCCAGGTTCGATTCCCGGGCCGGGAGAAATATTTGTACAGCCTACATTTATTTCTCTCGCGAGTTTTGGTGTAATTTGTGGTTGTCTATGTGTGTGTCCATGGCACCCGCGACACAGAGTTTCCCTAGTGCGGGACTATGTTGAGTGTGTGCGTTATTATTATTATTATTATTATTATTATCTTGAATAAAGGCCAACATGTTAATTTTGGATCCTTAAATAGTGGCTCTAGTGTTGATATCTTACATTAAAGTTAGAAGAAAGACTGGCTTACATAAAAGAAAGAAGGTTGATAAGTGCAGGCCACACCGCGAACGAAGCTAGGTAACTTAGCTTAGTTCACCTAGTTACAAACAAAGCTAGGCTTAGAAAATGCGTAGTAAGTAGTTAATATGTAAATATTACATAGCTAGCGGGTACGTTGGATTGGTTTAGTTAGCCCGGTAAGCTTAGTTCGCGGTGTGAACCGAAGCATAAACGATGCCCCGGCTACGTGAGTTGATCTAGGTTATCTTAGCTTCATTCCCGGTGTGGCCGGCGCATTAGGTACTTGTTGCGCTTAGTGTAATAAAACCACAAGTAATCATACGTCGAAATTGCTTTTATCACAAGAAAGTCATAAAAATAGCGAAATATAAATCTCCTATTTAAGCATAAAAAAGTTATTGACTAATCTGCCGTCCACTAACTAAAATGTAGCTAAGTGACAAATGGTGAAATATCCGTTTTATGTAGCAAAAAAAACTCTTTTGACAACAGTTAAAATTAGTTGTTGTGTTCGACTTATCGGAGAACTTACCCTAACGATGTATAGCTGAAATATCATTTAACAATTTGAATATTCTAAAACTGGGTTACGGTTATTTATGATATCACAAAAAAATATTTTGTCACTTTTTGCCGCGGTTTAGTTGGCTAGCGGCAGTAATTTCGTTCGTAAAATATTTAAACTCCTCTCTCCTAAAACCATTTTGTAGATGGCCTTACACCATGGCTGCAAGTTATTTAAAATATTTTGAAATTATCCTTACCGGTAAAGAAGTTGACGGTGTTGGCGATGGTGTTCTCAGCGGTGGAGATATTGCTCTTGGAGGTGGTGTGGTCACCTTAGATGGCGGCGTGGTCACTCTAGGTGGCGTAGGCGGTTTCTCCGGAGGGATCGGAGAGGAGGGTTTCGCCGGGGGAGAAGGAGGCTTGGAAGACTTGCAAGGAGATGCTGGTATCGGAGTAGGTGGCGACGCCGAATGCACGGGGGGCGTGCTAGGTGTTACCTCCATCGTCGGTAGTATTGGTGCCTAATTTAAATAACACATTGTTAAAAATAAATTAGAATAGTTTCAACACTATTTCCAACTATATAAACAAACTGACTACAAAATCAGAAATGTCACTGATTTGTTTGAGAATGGTGACGAACTTTAAAAAATACGAAATGACTAAATTCAATCTAGTTTGAGGGTCAATCGGCGTTTATTCAAAATGAATCGTTTACCAGTTCTAAATTTAGACTTGACTTTGCTACTCTACTGTGCTTTGTATTTTATTTCCTCTATTGTTTCATCAATTAGATGCTTTTGTCACATGGTAACACTTATTGGTAAAAATCCAAAAAACATACATTATTGTCAATTACTCCCCCTATGTAGCTAGCAAATTTCCGTACACAACTCGTTATTTTGTGAATTAACTCCGAATTACTATTAATATCGGCATGAATGGGAATGGTCAAACTTTAAATTTTAGCACAAGAATCAGCTAAAAAGAATCACAAAAATCAACTACATCTTTATCGTATCCTTCAAGTCATCGATCACCAGTACATGCCTATAATTTTAAAATGAAACAATAGACCTGATAATTGAAATCCGGTATGTAATCTCTTAAAACCTGTAAAAACATACCTATAATCTGTTCAAGAAAATAACGTTTCGCCCGTTAATTCACTATCATATTCCATCTATTTTTTTTCCGACAATTCCACCCATATCTTTTAGAGTTGCCATTTTTTCATTGGTTATACAAAATTTATATAAAAATCCGTAACTTATTTTTTTAAATCTAACAGTCACTGCAAGTAGTAATAAGTATTTTAAAAGAAATAATTTATTATATAGCTATTATTACCACCAGTTCTTTTAGGTTTTCATTCGAAGACTCTAACCTGTTCTGATCTACTACACCTACCTTCGGTTTAATTGAAGGTGGAGGTGGTGGAATAGCTCCCTCAGTTGGTTTGATCTCGGGAGCCACGGGCCGCGCGATCGCTATGTCCTCGAGAGATTTGGGTTCATCAGCAGAGCCTGAAGTTTCTACCGCCTGATATAAAGAAAATTTGTAGAAAATTTGATTTGTATCAACAGGGTTCCTTATACCCTACAGGGCCAATTTGATAAACACTTTTGATTGTTATACCAAGGAAGGGTACGAAATTTAATGTATTACTCTGCTCGTAGTGATGGGACGTCTAGTGCTGTTATTGATATATCTTGTGATACAATTGTATCCATTTCTTTTACCTGTCCATCGTCCTGTGTCGGCGGTGCCGGTGGTTTTCTCTTGATCACCTTCGGTGGAGAATCGCCCGGGATCCTCTTTGATTTCAGAGGACTGGGCTCTGTGTAAAACAATATTTACTTCAACAACAAAGTTCGAACTTACAATTGTAGTCTTATGGGTACTTTATTATTGTCAAGATTAAGTCTGCAGATCGAACAGGTACTAAATATAGGGTTTTTCGACAAGAACTTAGCTTTGTAAATCAAAATAAAACAATCAATTTAGATGACAATGATTCAAATTGGCAATTTGAGTAGTACGGATAGCTGCAGACCGCACTTTAAACAATTTAAAATTTTGACTTTGTGTTCTATATATATTTTAGAAATTTGTAAATTTATTAAACAACACCCTGACTTTTACACTAACACTGACGACCTGCCTCAACGACACACTTTGAGACCACGCAATAGATTGCTTCTGCCACGATCTCGGGTACACATACACAGCTCAAGTCCCCACTCGATGTCGGTGAGGATATTCAATGAGCTCCCGCCCATTATTAAAAACGAGGAAAAGTATTCACTGTTTCTAAATAAATTAAAATTACATCTTATTAATAAATGCTATTACAATTTAAATGAATACTTTAATGACAAATAAAAATAATAATATTATAATAAATTTGAAGAATAAATAAATGTTAATTATATACTATAAAGTTATGCTACTGTAATCTAATTAAATTCAAACTTTCAAGTGACATAATTCTTTCTACTCATAATATGACATATTTCTTTATTATTATATGACATTTTTTTAAATAATATTATTTGATAAATAACAATTTTAATTAATAATTGAAACCTCGGCCTACCTCTGCTGTTATTGTTATCCCTTATTAAAGGCTCATACGTGTAGCATTATTTTAAATTTAAGACATGTATACCATACGAATGCAATAAATATATTGAGTATTGAGTATTTAATGTTTATTGTATTAAAAAAAGTAAGGTTTGGCTATTATGAATGAAAAATTATATCTGATAAATGTCCACCACGACCACAGCTACAGATGTCGATTCTTTCATCAAAGTTTCTAATCATTTTTTGACAAAATGGTGGGTCTATTTCGTTAATCACTTCACGAATTTTGAGTTCTGAGGCTGCGAACGATTCGATTGGCTCCGTATGGATTCTGTCTTTAACATAACCCCATACACACACACATACACAAACAGTCACACAGCCACCGAAACAATGAATTTGTTGCAAACCAAAGTTCCCGATCGCAGAATTTCACAACATTCATCCGTTAAGTGGCCAGCTGGATTATTTTGTATGAGGTTATGGGACCAATAGTGACGTACACTCTTTCCAACAAAAAAGAATCATCAAAATCCACACAAGAAAAAATACATGTTCTGCGAACAAAATCGGTTCACAAATGTAACATACATACAAAACATGTAAAGTCGAATTGAGAACCTCCTCCTTTTTTTAAGTCGGATAAAAACAACAAGTTTTGTTCCATGACGTTTAATAATTGCTCAGATAGTACTTTTTACAAAATTAATAGTACATTGAGTTTTAAAGGCGGTAAATAAGAAATACGAACGAGACTCTATTAGGATCGTATTCTAGAACTCTAATCAATGTCAAGTCAGGATTGCACTGGAAACACAAGCACTGGAACTACGACCCTAATGGCAGGGACTTGAGTATGATTTCGAGTGCTTTAAACCATACTCAAATCCTGACTTGAGCATTAAGTAGAGTTCTAGAATACGAGGCTTAGAGCTATCGGAGTAAAAGTTATTTCAAATTCAAAAACACACTTCCATAAATGTCGATCATTGGTACCATCAGCCTACCTGTTTTTGATGGCTCCTCGTTGACTGGGCTAATCGAGCGCGGACTCGGTACGGGGCTGGGTCCTCGAGGAGTGGGCGACGGTGATGTTGTCATCGGCACGGGCTTGGCGGCCGAAGCGGGGCTAGGAGACCGCATTTTGGGGGACGCAGCTCTGCTTTGGGCCCCGATGGCGCTAAGGAGGCCGCTAGTGCCAGGCGCGGGGGACTTTGCGCCATCTAAACCATAAAATGTAAAATTACGCTCTAAATTATATCGAGCAGTGGCGAGGTGTCCATATAAGTCGATTCTCGCCGGCTTGGCTTTTTAATACGTAATTTACTACACATATAAGGTACGCAATTTAAGTGTAAAATAAGTAAATCAGTGAAATGAAGGGTACTTTATTTTATCTTATGTGCTAATAAGTGTTTTGCTTAATATAAGCAAGGCGTCTTTTTAACGGCAAAAGAAGTTTTAAGGTAGGTGTTTTTGTTTAGGTCGGCTTTACTAACGACTATTCACGCCTCACCACTGACATCGAGATGAACTTATTAAGAGTATTACGATATTTATATTATTCAACACCACGATGTGACGCTGTATATTAAAAAAAATATCTTCGTTAGCTAGCTCGTAGAGAGCTGCGGTGTAGACGAGCTCCCAAGTAATAAGAAGGGAAAGCACCAGCAACCTTCAGATCCATGATCTCCAGCTCGACGTTCAGACAATTTCACGCAATTACTTGCGGCCTTAACATCACCACGTTTTGCGGTTCACAGCTTAAGGCCGGGCGGAGACAAGGATAGTTAAGAAGGAATTAAAATACGGACAAGCGAACACAGGTTATTATTATTTCCTTAATGGCGGCCACAAGAACACTGGTTTATTAAGTTCAAACGTAACAAACGAGACTGTACAAATCTAGAAAATTCGTACCCACTTCGGATGTCGCTTGTGCACTAAATCCGATTGGAATACGAGAAAACACGAATGTTGCTTGTATACCTACAGATAAAATGATACCTGTGACATTTCGGACCGTCATTTCTCGAATTCGGAACTGGTACTTCATATATATCAATGATTTACGATACACATTTTTCAAACGGCTTTTTATTTCGTTTGTAAAAAAGTAAATTCTGAAATAAAGCCAGTGTGCCTGTCACTCGAAACGGTTCTATTAAGCGATTCAGTACGAGAAAAATTTGAATTCGACCCACGAGCGGTTTTAAACATTTGCACGTTGGACCTTATTACCAAATATGGATCTAAAAAGTACTTCTCTGCGTTCTGATTTTGATTCAAATTTGAATCGTTCCAATCAGGTAGTCTAGAAATCAGATGGGTTTCTGAGCGAGAAGATGAACCTAATTCCTATTATATCTTTCCAATTTGTGAGTTAAATCAACTATTGTTCCGATTAGAAATGTCAAAAGTTTCCGGTCGGCCAATTGTGAATCGCAATTATGCGCCTCGACTCGGAAAAGACGCGGTTTCCGATCGGGAGAGGCCAATGGGAGAGGCAATCAAAATCAAGCTGCAGATAGTACAACAAAAACATAAAAGTTAATATCGAGTTCTAAGGTTTTCGCGATTGTTATACATAGGAAATGAAACTATTTTTCCGGGTTTAAATCGCATATATTTGTTTTTTTTTTAAAACAAGCCTTTGTTTGTTTGTTTAAAAAAATAAAAGTTAGTATTTGGAAAATTTATAATATTTTATAATGTCAGTAACATAGTCCTACGAGGTCACAATGGGCCAAAGTTATCTCTAGATAATGTTTTAAGGCCATTAAATACAACCTCATTAAGCACTCCCGCAATTTCGTGGTTATCTCTGATATCTTTAGAAAAAATAATTTAACCTACATCTATGGTCTTCTGTGTCATGAGCAATGATCGTGTTAGTTATTTAGAACATGCGTTCATAAAGTGCACATAATAAATCCCGGAATCCCGGAGTCATGTCCATGTTAAACACAACGTTTGAGGTCATTGACCCGCAATAGCTCTACCTTTTATGATCCCTAGTCATCAGTGCATTTGAATTATTATTTATTTCAGGCGTTGTCAACAATTTAGATCCTTGGTGTTTAAATTTAAACTAATTATAAATTATGAAAGATCTGTTATCATACGCTTTTAAAGCTTGATAAAAACAGTATGCTTTAGTATGGATATCGTCTTCTTCTCACATACCTTTCCAAGGTGACTTTGGAGCAGGTGAAGTAGCGAGGTCAACCGGCTCGCCCACCTCAGTCGAGATGTCTTTGATCAACTCCAGGAGTGTGTGACCGGGGGTGAGAGGCATGTCTATTGGTGACATGCCTCGTGAACCTTCTGATTACAAGAATTTTATTAGCAAATCGAAATACTTTTTAAGGAACGTCTAATGTCCCAAGATATATGTGCCTTAAAAGCGTTGAAAATAATACAGAATAAGTAAATGAATATAATTTAATATTAAAAATTAACCTGAAATTAAGAAACCCCGATACAAAACAAAGTACTTTAAAAAGTTTAAAAATAAAGTGACTCTTTACGTATGGAGAATGGGAGATAAGCGTAGTGGATGGATGGCATTAGTATTGGAGATTTTGAGACCTAATTGGAGACAAGTGTGTTATGTAAATAAACCTTAAATTAATATTGAAAAAAAAAGTTTGTGGAATTATATCTGTTTGACAAATTTGTGCGCGAAACCGGATTCATCCCCTAGTTTGCCACTCTACAGGTGGAATATTTTCTTCAAATTTAAATGGGACCAATATAATATAATAATAATAATAATTGCATGAGTTAATTTCGCCCTCCCCGTTTCCATCATCGAGGAGCTTGACCTAGGATGGGGTTCCACCCCTACATTGTGGGCATTTCCAGGATTTGCACGACGCATTCGTTTCCATATTTGTAGGGCCTGCGGACATATTCCCGAATGCTATATCTTGAACCTTTTCAAGGCGAGTTTATTTTATAGTTTATTACCGTTTATTCAAGGATTGTTTAAGTGTGCTTACATCTTCGACCTCATCGTCACTTTCCATTCAGGTGAGATGGAGGTCAAATGCGTATTTTTTTTTTGTATATAAACAAAAACGGATAGGTACACAGACAAAAGTTTCAGACTTATGACCAGTGTTCGGAATAGGTAGAGTTTTTTTTACCTAAACTTCGAGGAACATTGACAGAAAATGGAGACTGCCTTACGACAATGTTTTTAGGTCCTGGACCTTTTCAGGATTCGGGAACTCACTTAAGAACATTAAAAATTGGCGTAATTGGGGACAGGCAGGTACACTATATTTACCTTAACTTTGCGACGCACAGTGGGTCCAATCTGCAATATTCCGGACACTGGATTTTTTTTCACGATACCTCTCTAAAAAAATGCCAATCGAGAGATCCTATTCCCATATCCCATTGTCCTAATTAAATATTGTCATATCACATTTTGCCATAAATCTAATAATTTAGCAGGACACACTAAACTAAAATAGGCAGGTTTGTCGGTTTGTTGTTGATAGTCTCCATTTTCTTTCTATGTTCCTTGAAGTTCGGGGAAAAATCTACCCATTCCGATCCCTGCTTATAACTCACTTTTTGCGTCGGGGGTTAAAAATATTATATTTGATATGACATAGTACAAATTAATAATCGAAACAAACATGTCAAGTGTATATAAGGTAAATACTATGAAGTCTGCATAGATCAACAGTAGCACATGGACAACATTACCTGGTAGTGGCGATCGTAGTACCAGTTTCCTGGCTTCATCCATGGCTCGCTGGAGATTCTGCTGGTTCTTGAAAGACTCACGGCTGCGGCAGCGCCCGATTTGAGTCCTACCCCAACAAATATTTGATATCAGTATCAACGGAACTAAGAAGAGATAAAGGCACACAAGCAACGTCCACTTTTTACTAGGGTTTAGTGTCCTATGGTAACGTATTAATTTTGCAGGACATTTGGTATTACGAACTCTCTCTTCAGAAAGAAATAGATCGTAGGGCAAACACAGAGTTAACTACGTCTAATAAGACCTATACATCAGATATTAGACGTCGTTGTCATCATCATCTATTGTAGTCCACTACTTGACATGGGCCTTTCCCAATGTGGGCCATTTTACCGTATTCTCAGCTTGTTGCATCCGTTTTCTGCCAGCACCCCTTCGCAGATGGTCACTCCATCTGGCCGGAGGGTAACCTACACAACGTTTGCTGTCTGTTTTCGCATCTTAAATAATGTCTTCAGTTTATGATGTTTCATTATTCCATCGGTAACCTACGCATCGCTGCTATCGGTAAACAACGACATTCAAAACATTCAAAACTCACGAAACCCCAGTAGCGGCCAGAGTCTGATCCCACTTAGAATTGGTGGTAGTTGCCACGGCCATTTTGGCGAGTCTTCTGAACTTGGAAAGGCCCGTTTCCGCCACCTCCTCGTCTACACCAGCCACGGGCGCTACGTGGAAGTCCTTCATAAGTCGACGCTCCCAGACCTTCATGCGTTTACCCAGAACAGCTGCGAACATAAATACTTAAATAATATAAACAATATAGACATAGAGAATAGAAGCAACCTGACGGCAAATTGAAAATCGAAGAGACTACGAAGAGGACAGAAGAACAGTGGTAGTCAAGTATGGTCGGAAAAGATCGAGAATAAAACATTTGATTGAATTCATCATATATTCTTTACAAAGATCAAATTAATAATAGTAAGTATAAAAAGCTCATATAAGTAATTAGTTAATGAGCAACTTATACTCTGGCATAAGTTGGCAATCTATTACTATGTCTGCATTTTACAAGATGCAGACATCTTTAGGATTGAAGGCGAGAGAAATAAAGGCGATGCTAATGGGGGGCAAACATAAATAAAATACTTTTTAAGGTTTTCCCGATTGTTACACATTAAAAATGACTCCGTTTTTACAAACATGGAGTCGGCATGAGTATGGAATCTGTAAAGGGCTCGAAACGTTGGTTTGTTTTAAAAAAATAAATATACGCTATTTAGATTTTGACTTATGCTGTTTAGTCTACAGGACTTAGATTTAGTAACTAAAACAGCATGAAACAACATGACGTAAAAATCTCACCTTTCTCTTTCCTGTCAGTAAACGAGACGTCCATTCCATTCTTCTCGAATACTTCAAGCAGCTCGTATCTTAACGAAGATACATCGCCTTTGAGTTCATTGATGTCGTCTTCAGTGACAGGCTCGTCGTCCATTCGACGATGCATAGCGGATACGTAACGCCAGACCAAAGCTCGCATCACAGCTAAGTAGTGGATATGAACATCGGCATTATCTTTATCTTTTTGTTCCTATAAAAGATAAAAAAGCAAATCATACACAGATTTCGCACCCTTTCAATAAGGCCACACCTGCAATATAGGAATAACTCATCTACAAAATGACAATTTTTCAGGAGACAAATATAAATGAAGACGAAAGAAAATAATGGATTAACGTTATGCTTAAACAGGAGTGTTATAAAACTTCCCATACATAATCTACATGTAGGTCATATTATCTTAATAATAGCACTTTTAACGAATGATCAACTGCTTTCTTATACCAAAGGTAAGATTTCATTCAAGTTTTAGAGTAAATTATTTCGCGCTATCAGTCGAATTTAAAAACACATATTGAGATTCCATGTAATTTCTAATTCAATTATACAGCAGTGACGAAGAACTCACGTAACACGATTTAAATTGGTTAATCGAGGTATAAGTACTAATCATAAGCATAAGCATATAATTTTAAAATAAAACAATATATAGGTACCCATAGCACGTATTAACTGCGACTGTTCAGAAGACAGAATTCCCTGAGAAAGACAAAAGTACCAAGAAGGCCGCTTTTCAAATCTGCCCTCCTTACCATACATACATATGCTTAGAGTAATTGTATTGTGGTTAACTGGAGCCCAAACTGAGCAAAGCTTGTGATATGGGTCTCCAGGCGCCCAACTTCTAATACTCGTATAGTCAAGTAAGAGTTACTGAGGATGAGATTATTCAGGAAACAAGATAAGCAACACCCTATAAGCGGTTTGTTTATATCATATTTACTTAGATTAAGTTTTATTGTTGAGCAAAATCAGCGTAATTGAAATTTTTCAAAGAAAAAAAACTTTAGTTGGCAATATCTCAAAAATTACCAAAATGAAAATGCATTATTACAGTACCGGCACGCTATGAATCTCAATTCATTATCGAATTGATCGATGAACTAAAAAGAAAAAAATTCACGACGAAATAAGATCAAATACGAGTCGCATCTATGTATAAGTTTTATAACTATAGATTTATAACTAGTATTGCAAGGGGTAGCTGATTTAAAAGTTTTATTAAAACGAAAATAAAAATATTTACTTAATATACGTCAATTCGAAACTGCTTTGTTTCGCATTGAGTTTTGACGCGAGTTTGTCGGAGGTAAAGTTGTGCTGGACAGCGATCCTAAAAGTGACGATCGTATTAAATTTAATTTATTTTAAATTTCGAATTTCGATAAACAAATGCCGAGTTGTGTCGTAAAATTATACATTCCGTAAATTTTACTGCACATCACTATTGACAACAATGTGCATTAATTAGCTCCTTCAACGTAGTTATGAATTAATACGAAACTTGATGAGCGGACAAACGTCAAAACGGCCATCCTATTTTTTTCCATCTTCTAAGGTGCCGTAATGACAAGGAGGAAGGAGGGCAGAAATGTCAATCACACTAACACAGTCACTCTATCGCGCGTGATCAGGAGCCTACAAGATTACGCACGGGAAAGTGTGCACGAGCATTGCGCGATTACCTGCTTGAAGTTTTTTAAACTAACGTTCGTTCACGCGCGTTTGCTTGTGTTCGTTTTAGTTGTTGTTGCGTCCTTGTAAAGGCTAATCACGCTGTATAGACCGCGTGAAACTAGTGTGTTAGAGTGCGCGATTGCAGCGCAACTGATAAGCGCAATCGCACTGCCATTTCCTTTTTCTTCCAACGTCTTCAATCACGCGCGATAGTGTCGGTAATAATTCAAACTTCTTACCTTCTCCTTCATCTTCCGCAATTTATCCTTCTTCCGTAATCCTAACATCTTGAATAGTAGTTTAGGGGTGGGCAGTATGTTGAAAGGTGGCGGCAGGGTGGCGCTTTCCTCGAAGTAGCTCATCCAGAGCCGCGTGCGAGCGAATTTCCATTCCACATCAGAATGTTCCTGTTTTAAGGAACATTAAAGAATTAAGGTCAGGTTTAAGAATTAATATATTAATGAACATTGTATAAATATACACCGTGACCCGAGTCTGCCGTTATGTCATTATATACGTACTATACACTATAAACTGCCTCTGTGGCCGAACGGTTACCATGTCGGACTGCCACGCAGAGGTCCGAGGTTCGATTCCCGGGCCGGGAAAAATACTCGTATTTATATGGCCTATATTTATTTCTCTCGTAAGTGTAATTTGTGGTTGTCTATATATGTACCCATGGCGTCCGTAACACAGGGTTTCCCTAGTGCGGGGCTATGTTGAGTATGTTCGTTATTATTATTATAATTATCTGATGATGCTTTAAAAAATAGAACAAACTTTTCTCGACTCGCGACACGTTACTTTTTGTAATATTTTGGACCAATGGACCAATAACTCACGAGGATTCTCTGATTTCCAAGCTAGGCTAATCTGTGTTATGAAAATTAGGGGTTTGGTTAACAACAAGTATCTAAGGAATTTTTTCTGAGTATTCGATCTTTGTATTAATAATTATAACAAACTAGTGGAGTAATTTCACAAAAATAATTTAATGTCAATTCAATAAAAATTTAAAATACAGTGAATAGCGTCATCTCTCGCCAGGGCCGGTAACTGCAAAGGTATCTGACTGGGTGATAAAACTTTCATAGATTTCTCATAGATGGCGCCACGACTAAAAGTCGTTGAAAAACCAAATACAAAGGCACGACAACAAGCACATAGAAAAATTCGTGAGGTCCGCTGGTTCGTCCCGTGGCTTAGTTGTTATAGCGTCTGGCACGGCATACCGTGTGATATGGGTCTCCTGGCATAGTCTCCTAGCATACTAGGAGACTTCGGTTCAAATCCGGCCGGATCGAAGGAAATTTTTCTGAGTGTTCGATCTTTGTATTAATAATTATAATTTGTTTTACATTGACAAGGAGCAATTTCGCACTCCTCACGGAAGAAAAATTAATCCCACATTATCTCCAATTCTTGTAACTCTGTCAATTAATACTGTCGATAGAGTTACGAAAATTGGAGATGATGTGGGATATATTTTTCTTCCGTGAGGGGTGTGACATTGCAGCTTGCATAATTTTAGCTCATAATCAAAAATTTTGATTATGACCAAAAATTATTTTCAGAACTTAATGCTCCTAATATGGTAGATGGCGCTTATCCTAAACAAAATAAAAGAATAGCCGGCACTATCCATAAAAATCTGTGTAATAAGTGCCACCTAGTTGATTTGTTTGCTATCACTAATTAATATTAGTAGTATAGAATAATTAGAAAAAAAAAGAGTAGCTTTCACAAATAAATATTTCCCATAAAAGAAAAAACTACGGCAAAAAACTAATATATATAAATGATGACTTTTTTCTGTTTTAACCAGAAGAACAACAGTTAAAGGTGGAAGATCTTTTTTTATGATACCAAATGACGAGACGAACAAGTCGTGCACCTGTTGGTAAGCGACACGCCTGTCCATTACAGTTGCAGCGCCACTCAGTGCCTTAAATCACATGGATCTGTACCAACTTGAGACATAAATTAACTTAATAAATTTCACATAAAATTTTTATGCTTTGCTTCATACTTATTAAGCTTATTTAATACATTATTTTCGATATACGACGTCATATAAATAGGTAGATACTTATTATGTAACGAGAAATTTAAAAAACATGACATAAACAATCAAGATTCCTTTGATTATGATTAAAAACAATGAAAAGTTAACTTCAAAGTCTTTTGTTGTCTTGTTTATAATTAAATTTACGAAATCTCAACAACCGTAAGGTATAATCTAGAAGTTATTCCTTTTAGCAATCAAGTCTTTTCTTCCTATTTAGTTATTTCTTTTGGCAAGAGATCAGGTATTCAAGACACAGTAGTCGGGCGAAAATTCTAGATCAAAATGTCATCGGTGCAAAGATGACATTTAGAGTCTGCATGTTGGCCAATAGACATAGTATCTTTTTCGTAAATGTTTAAGTAGAAGTGCCTTACTTCTCTATCTACAACTCAAAATGCGAAGGTACCTTTATCCATTGTTTTTAGAACACATAATTTCGACATTACGAACTTACGAAAATAAATTAATCTTTTTCATTCGAATTTAACGCTGAATTTGGCTTTAGAGAATAAAGATTTATACAGTCTAATTCAGCGAAAGTTATTTATTTTTTTTAATATTATTTAGCAGCAAACAAGCATACGGCCCGCCTGATGGAAAACGTTCACCGTCGTCGAATGCAACAAGTGCGTTGGCAACCCTTTAGGACCGTTTTCAAACCCCTTTGAAGGAATCCATGCTGTATTCCTACGGGGAACAGGAAGGAAGTTCATTTTAGAACCTAATTGTACGTGGGAAGAAGCTCTTCTAAAACCATACAGTAGGTACGAGATCGACTCGGTTTCAGAGTATGGTGATGGCGAATGGTGCCTACCTGGACTTTAGTGTGTGTAAATAAATATATTAATCATCCTATTTGATTATCGAGTATGCAACCAGAAACAGAGACAAAATAAGGGCCACCCATCCCTGACAACTCATCACGTAAATGGGCCCTATATCACTTTTAATTATCAACTCTCGTTTGCGCTGAAATCACAAATTAGAAAACTGAAATGGTACACCGCCCACAACTGACCTGTGTGTGCGTATCTTCATATATTTATAAAATATTCTGTATTTATTATAATAAAATTAATATCTCTATCAATGGGGGCTGTTTCATTCGGTAGTGTGGAAAAAACAGCAAGACATCTACATAATTAATTACAAAACGAACTGAACCACATTTAATAGGTAATTAAATATTAAAAACATGTAATTTTAAAATTCTCGTCCATTATAGCAAAGATCAAGTTTTGGTCGATTTGAAGTGAAACAATTGACGACACCCGTCAATTGTTTCGAATTCGAGCTGGCCAATCGGAGACCAGTTGTCACAGTAAAAATTTGGCAGAATATTTTTCAAACAAATTAAATGACATTTCGTCTCTATTTCTGTTTATACTCTCTTATAAAAGCAAAAAACAGGTCAATCGTCTAAACTACAGTAAGTACGTACCTACTTAATTCTGTCCTAATTGTCATAACTAACGCTTTTGCATTTCCGTAACTTTCGAGAATTAGCACCTAAATTCTTTTTCCTTTGAAAAATGTTAAGTACGTTGATTTTGCTTAACAATAAAACTGAAACTAAATAAGATACAAAAAACTGATTAAAGAAGGTTGTAGATCTCATTTCTCTGATCCCTGATAATAATATGATAATAACTAAATTTCGCTAAAAATGTCAATTACGTTAGTTATGATAAGAGAGGCAGAATTAACGTCACGATTTGAAGTTTTTTTAAGAATACATTGTTTAATTGTAGCAAAGCCGCGTTGAATTTCTGTGAAAAATATTGCACAAAGACAAAAAAAGAATTTCGATTTGTGTAATAAAATTGTAGAACTATTATTTATGACGATTACATTAAATTGAATCGCTCCGACCTTAGTTTATTTGAAAGGGTTCTGTCTGGACCCTTATCAAAATACACTAAAATGTTGTGTGACTTGGTAAATTATTTATCGTTAATTGACTTCGTACTTTTAATAACTATAATTATTGCGTTTCCAGCGCACTAGCTGGTATCCTTCTGAACAGACTAGACTTGCCTTCGGTATTCTCCTTTTCTTCAATAAAACTCCTTATAAACGTAAATCTTTAGGTTTATTAAAACTTATGAAAGTGGACTGTACACATTTTCATAAAACCTTATTTGAACACTTTTTCTCTATGTCCATCTGTTAGTTTTGATTATAGTGACCCTCCCTACCTACCCTTAGGGCATGCGAGAAGGGCACTATAACCTGTGCACGCACAGGAACCTTATAAGTTCAGGTTCTGACCCCAGACCAGCCAGTGTACAGGGTTGTCACAGACCTCATCCTTCACTTGACTTCATCCGGTTCTTCGAGAAGCTAGTGCCTCGGGTCAGCCGCCTCTACAGTACAGTACCCTCCCTATTTTCCAGATAGGTACCGGAGCTGTAGACTCGCTCACTTCCCGTTGCGCATTGCACAACTAGCGGTTGCCACCGCTAAGCCGTCGACTCTGAGTCCACTACCAAATTTCCTCATTGGTGGCGGAGCCGTAAGACACGCTCACTTCCCGACGCCGAAAAACGGCGTCTCTCCAGTTCCCAATAACCTAAGCGGCTGGAGAGACCAGAGGATATCTAGCTTTTCTCTACTAGCTTTCCGGGCTAGTGCCGGAGATGCCAGTCGCAGTGTCCTACGACAATGTCCGGATATAGCTTCCAACTTAAAGGGCAACTCACGTGACCCGCGCGTCTCCTCGCTTCAGGCCCTCGACTACACTGCTCTAAGACATGCTAGCTGCTCACGAGACAGGCGCCCCGGAAACATGCAAAACCGGGGCAGACAAAGTTGTCCGTCTTTGCAGCTAACCACAAACCCCAGCGAGTCCATACCCAAGTCCGGGTCCGCCAGAGACACCCGCAAAGCTGAGGGCTTGCCCGCTGTACCCTGGTCTTACCGACGAGCTCTCCGGAAAACCCTATGCTCTCGGGTCGGTAGATAGGGACCCCTGTGTGACAGTGAAGATTACCGTAATCGTGAAAATACAGCGGGCAACAAACTTAATGTTGGCCCCGGGCCACAGAAATCGACGCTACGCCACTGGTTACGAGACGTGTTTTTTTTAATAAATACCGCTTTGAAATAAAAAAGACAAGTCAACTATTCGTAACAATTTTAATATTACACGCAAGCCTGTTCTTTAACCTATTTTTCTACATAACTTCCACAAATATTAAGGCATTTATCGTATCTTACAACCAGCTTATGAATCCCGTAGTCTCTACGGAAAACCCTATCTCTCGGGTCGGTAGATAGGGAATTATTCAGTAGGAGTGGAGCTCCTTGCGAATGAGATCGTCCTGTACCACCAGGTGGCCATTTGCTATTTCTGCCGCCAAGCAGTAACGTCAGCATTACGGTAAGGGTGCTGGTGAAATTATAGGCACATGGGACTTACCAATTCATGTCTAAGGATGACGGGCGTCGGGGAAGTGCCCTCAGATATTTTTTTATTACTTTTTTAAAATTTTATTTAAGGAAACAAACTGTCATCAACAGACAGGTATAAATCAAAATTGATACACATACAGACCTAGACTTCTATTAACAAAAACTAAAATAAGATAATGCGCGGAACAACATCACAAGCAAAAAAAGAAGAATATTATAAAAAATAAGAAAAATTAAAAACTTAAATAATTAATGCTACTTAATTACATGTACAAATACACTAAAAAAAAACAATAATAGGAATAAAAAAACTACTACATTTTAAACTAAATAATTTTATCACTACATTTGTTGTTAACATAAAACTTCTCTTACCCTTTCCCTATAACCTTGTGAAGAAATCCCAAATATGTCTATATGACTTTTTCATTATAAAAATCCAAAGAAACCATTTCTGTGGGAATTTGTTCTACTAAGTTTACAACAGAAAGTAGCTTTAGAGCGCAAGGTGATGCGAGAGGGATCTTTGCGATTTAAAGCTCTGAATGGTACTGCAACTGTCATGGGCAGGCGTGTAGCTTACCATCAAGCGCACGATTTGTTTGACGCGTCACTTGATGTTATAAAAAATATATAAGATTATATCATACTTACGTCGATCATAGCATATGAATTTGACATCATAGCGATAAGCAGATTCAGCAAGACAATGACATTGATAACTGAGTAGGATCCGAACATCAGCAGCCCCCAAAACCGCGTGTAGCTCTTGATGCCGGCCAACTCGAAGTTCTCCAGACCCACCATGCCAAATGATGCCCAGAACAGAGACTGTGACGCTTCGAAAACGCTGCGAAAGATAATGAAAACATAGTTCTTTGGCTACTCTTTGTCGACAATATAGTTATACAAGTAATAACAATCAGTTATTTCTAATGGAAACGACAAATCACATAACCTGCTCTTAAAATAAAGCTGTCGTGTCGTGTTGTGACGCGTCAGAATGGCATCGGTTTGACACACACAGCACAAGCCGTCACGTCAGTTTGGGACACACTAATATAAATCTTACCATATTAAATGTACGAAACCGATGCCGTACTCGTCACGACACGACACGTCAGACAAATGTAAATCCGGCTTAAGGCATTCTCTCTACAGTGAGTACTTAAGTAACAAAATTAATTCCAGCGCACAAACCCCGAAAAAAAAAAGGAAAATCAATCAATTTTGTGGACGACTCTCCCTTATATCACCAAAAACTATATGGCAGTTAACTTACATATTGTAGAATTTGGTGTTAAATTAATTAAATAAAAATCTTCAAAAAGATAGTCTATTTTGAAACCAACTTCATAAAAGGAGGAGGTTCTCAATTCGACTGTCTTTTGATACTATGTTACACGATTACTCCGATATTTGTGAACCGATTTCGATGATTCCCATTATTCCCAATAGTTCACTTGACAGAACTACTGGTACTTTTTTCCCATTTGTTTTCTTCACAAAACTACTGAGAAATTTCTCTCCCACTACTTCTGCTGAACAGTTCTGTTGACAAAACTTCTTTTTTAACTAGAAAGGTAGCTCAGTTATGGTCCCATTCAAATTTAAAGAAAATTGTCTATATCTAAGGGTAGGAAATTAGGGAATGATTCCGGTTTATTGAATTCCACATATTTTCTGTTAACCGATTGCAATAAAACTTCGCACATGGACGTGCGAATTTTTATTGAAAGAGCTCTACGTCACCATTTCACGCATTTCATTTTCTAATGAAAATAAAATATTATGGTGACATAAAGCTAGTCTAATAATGGAAATGATTGACAGTTGAGAGAAACTCCTCAACAGTCAATCATTTCACATACAAACACACATTACAGCTATCGTTGAGGAGGCCGCGGTAAGAGCACAGCGAAAGCGGAAAAGCAAACTTTTGAAATCTTTTTTTTTACAAAAAGTTATAATTGTGGAGAATGTTGTTGAACGGTATCGACGCAACTTCGCTAGTGCTTACCGTAGATATAGAGTGCTTACATAGAGAAACAAAGTACTTAACTCCTTAATCATTCTTTTATTACAAACAATTTGTTACTATTCCAGTGTGATTGAATTTTATACAAAGACTACCCAAATCACAAAGAGCTGTGTGTAACACTTCAAAACATACTAAAAATTACGTATACATAGAAAATCTTTTAATACAAGCGACATTAAAAATTGTATCAAAATCAAGGTAAAGTGCGAACATTGGAGAAACGAAATTATTTTTTATTTAATTTTAATAAGCGTGGTAATCCATTGTCGCGCGCAATGTCATACAATCAACTTCATCGATCTTCAGTGTGTTCATCTTGACATTGATGTCTTCCTCCAGTTGGATTTGCGTTTGCAGTAAGTAGCGCAGCGAGGATGTCGCTTCAAATAACATTTGTTGCAATTGCTCCGTAGCCAAACGCAGCAACTCACATTCATAGTACAACGCTTGTCCAGGCGGGTCCTTAACCAATTCGCCGCCGACTCGCTGCGCGCGTTTTCCGAGTCGAGTATGAGCCAAAGCCACATGCCCCTCCTTGTCCGACAATGCTTTCTGCAGCAAAACAATGTTGTGTTGCATTTCAGAAATCTTCGCCGTCGTGTCACGATGCATGTCCTCGAGCTTAGCTTTCGCTCTCTTCGTATCGATAATCCGCTCGCGGAACTCATGATTACATTTGTCAAACGCTTCCCAGAGATCAGCAATCACCTGCTTTAACAGCGTATCTACGTACATGCGAATAGGACGCGCGCTGGTCACTTCTCTAGCGGCATTTTGAATGTTCTTCGCTGAATAGGCGTTGTACTCGTCCGCGGAAATATTAGCCGGGTCGAGAGTCGTGTAGCCTTCGTAGACGGATAGACACAAATCAGTGTGTTTCAAGGAGAGGTTAGATTTGTCGATGTTAATGGCCGCCTGTTTGTACTGAAGGTCGCGGTCAAGAAAATAGCGGGTGGAGCGCAATCGTCGCATTTGCTCATTGAGTTGCTCCAGCACGCGTTTTAGTAGACTTTGTCCACCGAGAATAGAGGTGATTTCGCGCTGTAAAGCGATCTCAACATTATCGACGACGAGGTCGATGCCGATGCGGCCGTCGCGCAACATGAGGCACTTGCGGCAGATGTTCAAGGCGTTCACTTGGAGCGACGCGAGGCAGTCTTGCAGACGAGTCTTGTACATGCTGAGGGCTTCGAGCTCTGTGCAGATTTCTCTGCGCTGGATCTCGAGTTCGCTTTTGCAGAACTCTACGTCGCCAATGCGCTCTTCCATACGACGGTCAACAGTGTCTTTCATGAGCTCGGATCTCTCCCCCGTCTCATCCCTCACCCGCTCACTCTCCGCGAGAACGCGGTCCGCCAATTGCTGTTGATCTTCCGTGTTGCGACATCGTTGGTCATTACTCAACTTCCATTCTGAAAGAGTGAACTTTGCCGTTCGCGGCGGCATGCACACAACCGCCTGTTCGGCGAAACGTGTTTCCGCCACCGGCGCTCCGATTTGGTTACGCACGCCGAATTGCGCTTCATACTGCTCCATGGCGCAACTAAACAATTACAGAATCTAGAAATCTACAAATTAAATAGAAAAGCGGAAGCCATGCGATGTACCGTAATGAACCTGCAGTATTGATGAAACTGTATTGTCCAGTTACTATGGTAACCATAATGTACAGTCAGCACTAAAATTATGCAAATGGTCAACCAAAAATATAGACACACATCCAAATAGGTATCAATTATTATTTAAAGTTTCATTATAATTGTAAGTCAATGGTTTCATTATTATTTATTTATACCTACCTGTCTTTACTGACCGGTGGGACTCTCCGTTGCTACACCAACGGATCTGCTTACATGCGGACAAGCACATATGGTGGGTAGCGGTAGCGGTTGAGACCCATGACATCTTGTATAGAATTAATAATATATATTTTTTAATTTTATTTTATTTTAATATGGAAAAGGCCCAAGTTGTAACGTTCAGGGAATTAGTCGGCAGGCAGAGAATGCCACTCCACAGCCGTTCGCCATTTTTATGTGGAAGCGCAACACTTCATGCGAATCCTTGGAAGATCCACAACACTACATTGGAACCCCAGCCTACGTCTAGTCCCCCGATGATGGAAAGGTGAAAGCAGAATTGAAAGTTATATGTAAATAAGTATTAAACACATTGCGACAATTCGCCACAGCGTTTTGCTGTATGCAATTCATGAACATATCTCAATAAGTTCACTGTGACACTGACTGTACATATATAGAAGTACCAAAAAGATTTTATTGATATATCACAACCATGGAGACTAAATAGGTATCATACGCGACCATAGACTTGGAATGCCCCAAGACCATAGAATGAAACAAGACGTATTATGCATACAAGATAATGCATGTTAGTCATTCTACGTACACGTGAAATTTGTGTTCGTGCAATTTTCCTCCGTATATATAAATTCTACTCTGTGTTTGTAACTAAGATAAGTAATAACATCAATCTACATATGCATCATAACACATTCCAATAAAGTGCATAATTTTTACTATATTTTCCGCCGACATTATGTATGTGACCAGTCACGTGCCGTCGAGTGCGCGCGAGATATGTTGTCAAGTTTGACCATGTGTCAAAAAAAAACGCGAATTGTAAGCAGTTGAAAGAACGTTATTAGTCTTTCAACCCTGACGTTGGCGAAATCGTCGCGCAAAACGACTGAACCATAGATACAAAAGTTGAAGTTGAAGTTATTTAAAGAATTTGTATCTTTATCCATTAAAATATAAAATATGAAAAATTTAGCACTTCAACGTGACTTCAATTAAACAAATATGTAGTAATTCTTATTTTTATCAAAGACTTTTTTTCTTTCGTTGTCTATTCTCTGAGTTTTGCTGTAATTTAACATTGTTGGTGTACTTGACATTTACTATCTATTTATTAAGATTATATTATTTTGTCTTTGGCGCTAAGCCGATTAGTATCCTGAAAAAAACATTACATGCTTGCATATCATCTTAAAAATTTAATTTCCTCTGTCTAAAACAATAATGGTGTAATGGACGGTGACTCGACATCGAACCGCTTATTTGACCCTAAAATAACAATACCAGTGTATTGGACTGTTGACCACACCTAGAAGTATAGAATGTGTCAAAATTCTTCTCAATTTTCATTCAATTTTGCACTAATTAGCTTAAACATTTCTCAGTCTCTGCAAAACATAAAGAGAACCCGGTTTCAGTTTCCGTTTAAATCAATAAAAAAATTAATATATTTTTAACCGACTTCAAGAAAAGGATGAGGTTCTCAATTCGACTCTATGTTTTTGTACCTATGTATGTTACGCGATAACGCGATAACTTGTGAACTGATTTTGATGATTCTTTTTTTTGCTGGAAAGAGGGTACCTCAGTGGTGGTCTCTTATGATTTTGAAGAAGATATTTCACTTCTAAGAGTGACGCATGAAGCCTAATTTTTATAAACAGCGCTTAAATATTATTATAGGAGCAATTATTTTAACGGTTGATTTTGCTACGCTCCAATTGAAGGCATTTTTCTTTCTCAATATACTTTAAGCAGTGAGAACCGATTTTTATTATCTCCTGTGTCAAGTCCAGTGACAGTCGCAGTGTCCTGCGACAATGTCCGGACATAGCTTCCAACTTAAAGGGCAACTCAAGTGGCCCGCGCGTCTCCTCGCTTCAGACCCTCAACTAGACCGTTACTAAGATGCGCTAGGTGCCCACGCGACCCACGGAGCTTGCCCAGCTGCGAAAATCCTGTGAGGAGGCAAGACGCCAGCATCACCGGTGCCAAAGGCGCCGTAGGAGAGATGTGGAGGAGCTTTCGCGACTCTACGGGGCCTATAGCGAAGCCTGCAAGTTGTTGCGGGTTGCTATCGGCAGGGCAAAGGACCTGGAGAGGTCAGAGATGCTGGAGGCCCTTAACCGCGATCCGTGGGGAAGGCCGTACAAGGCGGTGCGGTGCAAATTGCGCCCATGGGCACCCCCATTAACGCAGAGTCTCCAGCCCGAACTGCTGGAACAGGTTGTGAGAGCCCTATTTCCAGAAAGGGCGCACCACACACCTCCGCCGATGGCGCCGGCAGCGGAACCAAACCAGGACGAAGGAGGTAGCACGGGTGCACACGAGGTCACTGAGGCAGAGTTGGGTGCAGCGGTATTGAGGCTACGTGCCAAAAACACCGCCCCAGGCCCAGATGGGGTACCTGGTCGTGCACTGGTGCTGGCCCTAGATCCCCTAGAACCGCGAACGAGAGCGCTCATGAGTGCCTGCTTGGAGCAAGCCCATTTTCCAGAGAGGTGGAAGATTGGTAAGCTGGTCCTGCTCCAAAAAGAGGGACGATCGGCTGAGTCGCCATCGGCATACAGACCGATCGTGCTGCTGGATGAGTTAAGTAAGCTTTTCGAGAGAGTGATCGCCGCTCGACTCATAAGGCATCTGAAAGAGGTAGGACCGGACCTCAGCGCCAAACAGTTTGGTTTCCGTCGAGGCAGGTCCACCATTGATGCCATTGCACAATTGAGGGACCTGGCGGACGAGGCGGTGGGCAATCGCGAAGTGCTCTTGGCAGTGTCTCTTGACATCGCCAACGCCTTCAACACACTGCCCTGGTCCACCATACTAGAGGCGCTGAAGTTCCATTGCGTGCCCGAGTATCTACGGAAGATGGTAGAGTCCTACCTCTCCGATAGAGCCGTGATATATCCAAGCCGCGATGGGGTGGGTCGATGGAGCGTGTCGTGCGGTGTGCCACAGGGGTCAGTCCTCGGACCGCTCCTGTGGAATATCGGGTACGACTGGGTGCTGCGCGGGGAGTGCATGGGTGGAGTCGATGTAGTGTGTTACGCCGACGACACCCTGGTTACGGCCCGAGGCAGCACGCACCGGGAGGCTATAGTGTTAGCCACGGCTGCGGTTGCCCATACCGTGATCAGGATTCGGCGTTTGGGCCTAGAGGTAGCCCTGGAGAAGTCTGAGGCTGTGTGCTTCCACGGGCCTCGGAACGCACCGCGCGCGGGCACGACATTGATGGTGGGGGGAGCCTCCATTGCTGTTAAGAGTACCATGAAGTACCTCGGACTGGTCCTTGACAGTCGATGGAGGTTCGAAGAGCATTTCCGGCTCCTAGCTCCAAAGCTGGTGGGTACAGCTTCCGCCCTGAGTCGGCTTTTGCCGAATGTGGGGGAGCCGAGTGCCAACTGTCGACGCCTGTATACGGGGGTGGTGCGTTCGATGGCCATGTATGGAGCGCCCATATGGGCAAATAGCCTCACCGCTCAAGGCAAGACCCTGCTGCGGAGACCGCAGCGAGTCATAACGGTCAGGGTGTCGAGAGCATATCGCACCACCTCTTACGAGGCGGCATGCGTCATGGCAGGTACCCCACCATGGGATCTGGATGCAGAGGGGCTGTCAGCTTTCTATTGGCGGTCGGCAGAGCTGAGGTCCGAAGGGGAGGAGCCACTTCTGGAGCACATTAATCGATGGCGGATAAACATCCGACGGGACGTGTTCCGGAAGTGGCAAGAGAAGCTGGAGGAGCCGAGATCTGGCCACTGGACCATCGGAGCGATTCGACCAGTCCTGGCAAAATGGGCGGATCGATCCTGGGGAGGCATCTCTTATCACCTTGCGCAGGTTCTGACGGGGCACGGTTGCTTCGGCAAATACCTGTGCAGGGTGGGACGAGAACCGACGACCGTATGCCATCAGTGTGGCTGCGCCGAAGACACGGCCCAGCACACACTGCAGGCATGTCCGGCGTTCGACGAGCAGCGGTCAACCCTGACCGCAGTGGTGGGGCATGACCTATCCCTGTCGACCGTGGTGCGAGCCATGGTCGGCAGTGAGAGGGCGTGGAATGCGGTGGCCTCCTTCTGCACCGATGTATTGTCGCGGAAAGAGGCGGCGGAGCGGGAGCGAGAGGAAGACCCTTCCTCTCATCCTATGCGCCGCAAACGTTTAGGGCGCAGGCGGCTGGCCTATGCCCGCCAACTGCCGCCCTGACAGTGAACCCTGAGTGGCAAAACGGGGGCTTTGTCACTCACTGGGCAAGGGTTCACGGGTTGGTTGGCATGCCAAGTATTCCCGACATGCCACTAACGACGGAGTGGAGAAAGTCTCCCAGAGGTGGGTCCGCAGTCGCGGACAACCGCAGGCGGGGCCGTGGATCGTAAACCACGTGGCCACAGCCCCGTCCCTTGCGGAGTGTGGGAATACCCGGGGGTTTTTAGTGAGTAGGAGTCTCACATAACCACCGCGCCTCCCCGTGACGCGGTGGTATCCATGACGGATTTTCCCCCGGAAAGAAAAAAAAAAAAAAAAAAAAGGTGCCCACGCGACAGACGCGCCAAAAACATGCAAAATCGGGGCAGATAAACATGTCCGTCTCTGCAGCTAACCGCAAACCCCAGCGAGTCCATATTCAAGTCCGGGTCCGCCAGAGACGCCCGTAAAGGCGTATCACTGGCGGAGGGCTTGGCCTGGACGCCCGCTGTACCTTGGTCTTGCCGGCGAACCTATAGTCTCTGCGGAAAACCCTATCTCTCGGGTCGGTAGATAAGGACCCCTGACAGTGAAGATTACCGTAATCGTGAAAATACAGGGGCAACAAATTTAATAGTGGCCCCGGGCCACAGAAATCGACGCTACGCCACTGGTTACGAGACGTGTTTTATTTTAAAATAAGTACCGTTTTGAAATAAAAAAAGACAAGTCAACTATTCGTAACAATTTTAATATTACACGCAAGCCTGTTCTTTAACCTATTTTTCTACATAACTTCCACACATATTTATTGCGATGGTTGAGACCAACATCGTCATCGTGGTTTTGACCTTCAAGATGCTTCTTGAAAGGCAGGAACACGTTTTAGTCACTGGGCGTTAATTAGATCGGGATTATTACGGGGGTGATCAAGGTGTCAATTTCATCAACTTTCTGCGCCAAATCTTCAATAGTCTCTCCCTACTTCGTTCCTCGTCATGAACATTCCAGCGACCATCCTTAAAAAATCAATCCTTAAAAAGCTCAAGCCCATTTTAGTATCATTCCATCGCTCGTAATGTTTTATATATACACTTCATAGATTTGACGATTAATTTCAAACGCTTTCACACCTTTAACACTAACAAAAAGTAATCACAGCGCGTATTTCACAGTTGGCAGGATTTTCAATCGGCAAAGGCAATTTAAATACGCTTACACAAACAAAAACACAGTCATATGTTGCCATTATTGCGTCTGTGGCTTGCCAACGTAAATAACCGCAGCGCTACAGCGGCCGAATTTGTAAACGGTACTTATTTACACGCCTGATACATCTGAAGTGTCTTGCTAGCTCGATGCTTGCTAGGTACCTTACGCGATTCTATAGCATTGTAAAATAAATTTAATAATGGGGTAGCATGAGGACAACTTACTTGCCGAAACTCCTCCACTTCATGCAAGAATCCCCTGCGTTGTCCCAGTCGGGCAGGCCACCGGGGAGCACATAGCACTTGCGCTTTTCCAGGTCCGCGAAGTACCAGAGAAGCTGGTTTAAACCTAGGTGCCACATAAACAAACTAAATTTAGACAAAAATTCACAATTCACAAACCCTTCTCTCCTGCCCAGTGGCCATAATAATACGCCGCATCCACAAAAAACCTGTAAATTTTTAATTAAACAACCTCACCACAAACTCAAATTCAAATAATCTCAATATTAATTGCAATGAATATTATGATGTTTTACTATCATGATATTCATTACACACAGTTTTCATTTACAAACAGTTTTTCTTCACACCAAACTTTCACAGATTTCTCACAGATGGCGGTACGGTAAAAAAACCGTCAAACGCATGGAAAAATTTAGTGTGCTGACTGTAGCTCAGTTGGTGGAGCGGTTGTCCAAGACCAGCAAAAACATACGTAAGTTCGAATTCCGTCAGATTAAAGGATTTTTTTTTGTGATCGGTCTTTGTATTATATCAAATAATTTTTATTTCTTAGGTAAATAAATTACGTTTGTCACATTGATTAAACACTACTACCTACTCAATCGTAAGGCAGATTCCCCTGAGAAAAATGAGTAAAAAAGCCAAAGGGTACTCTTCGTAAATAAACAATTATTGTAGGTACAGATTAATGCTCAGGCCACACGGCCGCGAGTCTACCGCGCGTTTCAGTGTGGCAGGGTTCATAAACTCGTGCACTACAAAAATTCCCGCGCCGGGATCGCTTCCGCGGCCGCCTCTGTGTGGCCAGAGCATTATCATTTACTAAATTTATTTCCAAGATCATAGATCAAGACCACCTGCAAGAGCTTACGGTTTACTACCACGGGTTTTTGTCCTCCAAGTACGCAGAAACTGCTAATAAATATCCTTTAGTGTAAAATTTTATATCACTATAGTTTTAAACGTCATAAATGATAAATTTTCAATATCAACGTTTCGCCTAATACAAAATATTAAAGGTGTTATAGTCAGACTTCCAGCCTTATTTTAAAGAATTTTACTTATTGTCAAAAAAAAATTGTAATAGACAAAAATATAATCTTTGGCTAAAGTTAATTTTGTTAATTTTTATTTTATTCTAAAGTCAATGTTTTTTCTTTGGTAGGTACTATTTTTTCCATTCTTAAGAGGGAGCAGAGGAAAAATTCCTAATCTTCAATTTGATTTTAGAGGGGTATATCCATTTTAAAGTTAAAAATAAAATATTGTATGAGTAACTACACGATATATTCAAGCATAGACATTAATCAGAAACATAAAACAATAAAGTTTCCTCGGTAGATAAAAATCACGAAATGACCTCTATTTTCACATTTTTCGATTTATCCTCGAAATGCCACAGGTTATTAGGACAAAAATTAGATAATTAATTATATTTATGCATGATCGACAACTGTCACTACGGATTTTTTTTAATCCCTTTAGTTTTAGAGTTATTCCGCTAAAACGAATTTGGTACTTTTAATACGCAAAATTCAACATCTCCTGTTGCATGTCACGCGAACTTCAGGCATATATTTGTTTCACAAATTTGGGCGGAGCCAAGGTCAAAATTTTTTTGGCATGAGAGCTCTTAAACTGGAAAAGACGAATGCACTCGTGCGTCATACAACCTAAACTGAGAGTATTTCTTCTTAAGTTTCATTACAACTTTACAAGATCTTCGATAGTGCTTCTTACAAAATGAAATAAAACTGGATTACATTCTTTCATTTTTCAGGAGATCTAGCGAAATGTTTTCAGGTATTTTATACAGTTGAAGAAGGTTGTTGATGAGTATTAATCTAGGAGGGATAGAGAAATGTTGGCAAACGAAAAATAAACAATGCAAGGATTGGTTGTTTTTTTGTCTATGGTTCGCTCGGTATTTTTACTGACTTCAAAAAAGGGGGAGGTTATACGTTCGGTTGTATGTGTGTTTTATGTATGTTTTCATATATCTCCGTCAATTGTGGACCGATTTTCAAAATTCTTTTTTTGTTTGAAAGGGTGCACTCTCGTGGTGGTCCCATTGTCACCAAGTCAGAATCTGATAAGGTGATCCCATGAAAATTGAAGGAAATCCTCAAATTTTATAGGCATGTCCGTCACCAATTTCTCCATCAATTGTGCACCGATTTTGAAAATTCTTTTTGTTTGAAAGGGTATACTCAATATGTGGTCCCTGATGTTGTTCCGGGTTCGTTTCGGCTATAACAAATTACTAATTGTTTTCCGCAAAAAAAGTCGACTTTTCACTTGACAAAATACACATAATCACCAAATTACCGTCATCATGACAACCAGAAAAAAAAATACAAAATGTACAAAGGAGTCCGTAACAGTCCCATTGTCACCAAGAAGTCAGAATCTGTTGAGGGGAGCCCATCCTCTAAAGGGGAGCCCATGGAAATCGAAAAAAGCCAATAACCAAACTTCAAAAGTCAGCTTTTTTTTCAATGAAAAAGTTACAATAATTGTTTATTTATTTTCCTTAAAATATAATTTTAATTCCTTTCCTTTGAGTTTGATTTCCCCTTCACCTTAACAATGGTTATATCGACCCAAAAGTTAGCTTATTGATGCTTATAATAATTAACTATGCTACCAAAATGTATACAATTACTACAAACACATTTCAAAATTACTCAAGCGTATACGTTAAGGGTATGTTAAGAATCAGGCATGAATCGCTTGATGAAACCAGCAAAACAAACATGTGCCATTGTTTCTTGTAATGTTTACCAATTTGTGACATTTGAACTCAGTTCTAATTATTTTAATTAATTAACACGAGCAGAAGAACTGTGCAACACATCGACTGTGGACAATGTTAGTAAAGTAAATATTAGAAACAATCCCATTCCTATTGCCATCTACCTAAATGGTATAAAAGTATAAAAGAAATTATAGACTATATGTTAAATAAAGATGCATGGAAAGACGACTACTGTGATCAATTGGCTATTTTAAAAACTGCCTCCGTGGCCTAACGGTTACCATGTCGGACTGCCACGCAGAGGTCCCAGGTTCGATTCCCAGGCCTGGAGAAATAGTTGTATGGCCCACAATTATTTCTCTCGTGAGTTTGGATGTAATTTGTGGTTGCCTATGTGTGTGTCCATGGCACCCGCGACACAGGGTTTCCCTAGTGCGGGGCTATGTTGAGTGTGTGCGTTATTTATTTATTTATATTTATTATTTATTTTAACGTAACTGTTGATAAAATATCAAAAATGCTTAAAGTATAGGTTATAGAAGTTATCGTGCTATAACGACACCAATATATCATTCCGTTATGAATTTGGTGAAATTTAAGCACGATCGTGTTTCTAAATCGAATACCATAACAGTGTAACCAATATAAATTACTTGTTAGAAGGTAGTTCAAAAATGTTAACCGTGCCTGTATTGCAGCTAAAGCAATGTATATAAATAAAGGAATTTAAAACAGCGCAGATATATTTAATAAAGACGATTGAAACATACTATAAAATTCACAAACATCGTAACTAGACTTTCAATTAAGAATTGATAATCAAACAGATGCAGAAATTCCTTAAATATTCCATAAATTGTTTACAACACTCCAATTTCAACTACCAATTAATTAAATTCGTCTCCTAGAGTCGCTGAATCTCTAGTTCAAGAAAATATTAGAGTTAAAGTTACGTCATGTAGATCCAGCCTTTAAACCGATGGATTTAAAAAATATTGTTGCTCCTTATGGTCTTTCCGCCGCAATAAACGGAATTACTGAGAGTGCTTTGGCAAGGTTACTAAGCAAGCGAAGATGTGGTGTCATTAGATGAAGAATGAGGGAAGGGAAGGCAGATATTTTGGTCAGATTTGGTAATATATTAAATGAAAAATTTCTTACCACAAGCGAAGGCGAAGAGCACTAAGCTATAGATGAAGAAGAACTTCACAATGTCGATAACCATGCGACCCAACGAGATCTGTAGTGGTCCCAGGTGCGGATTGATTGAAAACAGATGCACCAACTTCAAAGCACTGTGAGAAAAAAAAAATCCATTAATAAAAATAACTATAGCTGAACTTGTTTGTGCTCAGTTGTATAATACTGTATTAGGTTTTGCTGCCGTAAAGGACAGTATGTTAATTGCCGGTGGTATTTAGTGGTCGGAGCAGAGAGAATTCTCGCTCACGCTATGCTTCCAGCACTGGTCAATCTGGAGATAATGGGTTCGGTTCATAACGAGAGACCTGCACCATCAAACCTTAATTACGTTAACGGTGAAAGAAAAAGTTGGGATAAAATTTGCAAATGAAGACGTATGACATTTCCAACAAGCATGTGTTCGACAATAAACTGCGATTCTCCTTAAAGAACTTCCACGTACAGCAGTGTGCTGTACATGAGATGATGAAAATGATGACATTCAAACTGACCTGAAAACATTTGCCGCAGCGAACAGGCCTTCGGCAATCAACTGGGGATCGAAAGCATCCCATTGCTCTCTAGGAATGAACTTTGTCTCTGGGTCTCTCGATATCTGTGCCGATTGTTGGAGGTACGCAGCGAACCTTAGCAGCATAACGGCGACGTACAAAGAGTTACGGGTAAAGTCGATAAAGTTCCACATATTGCGCAGGTAGGATCGTATGCCTTCGATGAATATTTCTTGTGTCTCTTCCCATATGAAACCTGAAAAAGGATAGACGAATTGTTAAAATTTTTCAAATCATAAACATGTTTAGTAGCAACAATACTCTTTGTGAAAGCGTTTATCCATGAAAGTTATGTAAACATTACTACGGTCGGTTTTGATGATTGATGATGCAGGTGAATCTACAGACACATGGGTCTTGTTAACTTCATGTCTCAGGGTAACGAGAGCAGATCTTTGCGATTTTAAAGCTCTGGGTGACACTGCAACTGTAATGAGTAGGCGAGTAGCTTACTACCAGACGCATAATTTGTGTGGCACGTCACATGATTTCATAAAAAAAATGTTAGATCACTAGTTATCTGTCGCATTAACGTTGATGGAAAATATCACAAAGAAACCTGCTCATTAGAGAATGGTGATATATACCTACACGAGTTAACACAGAGGATAGTCTTTCCAGAAAACGCAGCCGCGTTATTTTTTTTGTAATTTGATATTAATTCGAATAATATTATATAATAAAAGCCGCTTTGTTGGACTCCAAGGGGTGCTCGTTGAAAATTAACTTGAAGCAACTTTAACCAAACTTCCGGGGAAAAAACAAATTAAAAGACTATTTTTTCTCCATTCTCTAAGATTTACTGTCACTAAATGTTTTTGGTGTGACACTTATGTATATTACATATGAGTTGCATTATTAGCATCTGCCATTAAGATGCAGATTCTATGACTTCCATAATGGAAAGGGGAAACTTACGAACTGTAGCAGTGAGTAAGTTTTCATTGAGTTTGATTAGTTAAGATCTAAAATAAAATCAACCTTCAATTACCTGGATCATTATTAGAAACATAAAAACATTTAAAAACTTCAAAATTTCATCACACCTAAAAATTTCAAAATTTGATAGTATTTAAAAACTTCAAATTTCTCTAAAATCAAACATCTCATTACTATTGCAATCTGTTCCACTTTTTCCATATCTACCGTCACCCTAACGGCGACGGGAGAAAACATGCCTAGTAGTGGGACGTATATGGTTTCACAGAGCTCTCAATAAATTTGACTTACCGAAAACATAAACGACTACAATAAGTTCCAAGAACGTAGGTCCATTGCCTCTCTGTTTAAGCAGCTCTTTCTCCAGCTCTTTGACCATCCATTCAGGCCCGAATAGCTGGATTGCTTGCACTTCCGCTCTTTGTGATACCAGGATCAAAATCACTGAAAAACAATTAATATCAATGTTTTACTACCACGATTTCAATATATTTTTTGTGTAAATACTCCACTTCTACACTTTGCTATGCTTAGCTTATACAGAAGAAACTGTTGGGTCTTTTGTCAGGTACTATTTCAATCAGTCATTTTATAACCAAAGCTATTAAAAAATACCATAATTCAAAATCCTCAAACATATTGACTACCTACTTTTATGAATTGTTACGGTTTTTTTACATTTAATATTTAGTGAGTGCTACCAAGCACTCACTAAATATTAAATGTAAAATTTCTATCTGTACAAACTTAATCTATTTCGAAGTCTTGCACATAAAAAAAAATTAAAAACAGAGGTTTCAAACATTTCATGGAAACCATTGACTTACAAATAAATGGACGATGGGTCTAATACAAAAACCACGAAAAAAATGTCCCAAGTCAACCTATTCGAAATTTAAATTGTTATGTCATCGCAGTATCGCGCTGTCAGTCGAACAAATGAAGACTAAAGCGGAGTTTGGCGCTCTGTATACGATTTTAGCGCCTTACAAGTGCGGACACTTTTTAGCGCGGACCCGACGTCCATATAATTGTAAGTCAATGATGGAAACGTAATAAAAAACTGTTCATGTCATTTGTGAAAGTCAGTTATCATCAATTCTCACGACTTTTTTTCAATTCTCACGACTTTTCTTTACTGTAATTTGTTGCCTGATGAAAAAGGTTTACGATCACTGGCTTCTTTGTTTACAGTTTCTCTAATTAAAAAAAAACGAAATATAGTTTACTATTATTGATGCAAAAATCAAACACAAAGAAAAATTCCTTCGATCTAATTGGATTCCAACCAGTCTGTTGCCAAGCCGGAGCTTCCGCTCATAACTAACTGAGCTACGGACCGAGTCGGTAGATTACGAATTTATTAGTGTTTGTTACAGATAGGAAATGAATCTATTTTTCCGGATTTAAATTAAAAACAACAAACAAACCCCGTAAAACTGTAAAGGGCCCGAAACGTCGGTTTGTTTGAAAAAACAAATATACGCGATTTAAATCCGGAAAAATAGTTTCATTTCCTATGTGTAACAATCGCGAAACCTAAGAACTCGGTTTGTTACAGATCTTATTCTTAAAGCATGTTATTTGCCTGTCCTTATAACACAAGTACAATAGAACTCATACATATCCGGCAATTTATAACTCGTCAACAGCAATTTTCTTTTTCTCAAACATGCTCGGAAATTTTTGCGTTACTTTCAAAAACGAAAAGGGAAGTTTGCCAAGTATAGACCGTGAGACATCTTCCTGACCAAGGCCTGCAAAGTATACGTATTAAAATCCATTACTGTTCGCTGCTCTAAACTTTTAATTCTGTTTCTAATAATGAACAATGTAAACAGGCAAAAGAAAAACTTATACAGCCAACTGCCATGACGCATAAATCACATCATCAGAAGTTTAGCAGACTATTGTTAATGTGTCTGGAAAAATATATTTTCTTCTAGCAATTGTCGTAATGTCAAATATTACCTCGTATTAATTAATATTTGTTAACTTTCTGTATTACACATCTTGCTCTCTTCAGTTAATTGACATTTCCTCACATTGTTTGAGACAAGCACTATATAAGCCTCGGCGGCAATGGGGATTGCTTGACTCCTCTGCAATGATGTACTATTTGTCAAATTTTTTAAAGATTTTTTTTAATTGATGAACAATTTTGTCGTCGTTCGTTTGTTTTCTGACCTTCAAAAACTTCCCAAAACATACTCACATAAGAAAAACAGATATGAAGAAGCGTGTATCAAGAACTTCATGAATGGTTTGCGCATGAGATTGCCAGTAGCACAGTTCGGTGCAATCATGTATAAAGTACAGTAGAACGGGAACAGCAGGGCCACGCGGCATATGATCATGATTTTTTCCATTGCCGTCTTGCGACGAAAACCGGGAACGCCTTCGTACCAGAGGGAAGCAAGCAGTTGTTGGATGTTTGGGTGTGCTACGAACTGTAAATAAGATTTTACACTTTTGTAATACACTCTACAATACTCGATTAATTATTATTGTTATAAATAATGAGGAATTCAATGTACTATGAGTACCAGATCAACGGAACTCGCTCCTGGGTACTATCCAACAGTCAAATTAGAAGTAATTTAGAAAAGTTATTGATTTTTATTTGTTTTAGATTAGATTTA